TTTACCGTCACATTTTTCGGTTACGTCACATTGTTCCGTTACGCGCCATCTTTTGTATTCATGTCTATGATAATAAAATCCTTTTGTTTAAACTTTATCTAATTTAACTTACTCGATATAGGTGGCATGAGTTACTCTCACTAGATGGAAGTAATTGTAACGATAGTTTGTGGTTGATACAGAATACTGATGAAATACTGCTCAGATTGAGTTGTTTTGTAATAACTCGGGTTTCTAATGCTTATTGAGCATTAATGAAATTTTTCAGTTGTATAGTGTATCACTAATAATTGGGTAATTAAGTTATCTACTCACACAGGTTAACATGGTCTGTTAAAGATCTTGTTGAGAGCTAACGTTATGGTTTGTAATGAAAGGAATCCCAATCCTCAATCGTGAATGTATCAGGATTGGCCGAGACGAAACCTGTTTGATATTGCAAAAGGTTGTTTTTCTTGCAGGAACGTCACACAGGGACGTGTGACATGTCAGAATAGCCGTGTCGTGGATAACGACTTTTAGTTGTCGTGGATAACGACTTTTAGTAATATTAAGACGGTGGTTTTGATTATTATTTTAAATGATGAGATGTTGTTTTGATAAATATCACAAAATGAAGGGTAGACTACGTAACGCCACAGTATAAAATGGCGGTACGTGGACAGAGTCGTGGCATTCCGTGTCAGACAGTCATTCCGTCCGTCTCAGTCAGTCGGTCTGTCGGTATGTGCAACGAAACTGTCGGTTTATCCTGTCATTGTGAAAGTTGTGTGTGTTGAGTTTCAATAATTGTTATTCAAAAAGTTTTATTAACTAAACTGAGTTCAATCGAATACGAGTGATGACGAATCTACCGCTCAGCCATCCCTGAAGTGTGCCGACATATATAACTAACACGACTCTGGAATACACACACAGAAACCATCCCCATAGTAATAGGCGCAACAGGCGTAGTGGCAAAAAGTATACATAGATACATAAACAAACTGGAAGCAAATATAAACATACACATAATGCAAAAACAAGCAGCCATACACGCATGCACAATAATAAGTAAAGTTTTGGGTAATACAGTTTTCATAAATTCAAGGGAGTCTGAACCTCCTCTTCCCTGAAGGTTTCAGGGCGGGAGCTAGGAACTAAACCCAGTCAAGAACTCGAGAGAAAGCTCATTAATAATAGTTAATAGTAATACACAGTTGTTTAGTTCGATCGAGTCCCATCTAATTTGTACATGCAAGATGTTTGTATTGGGTTTGGGTATACTCATTTTCGTTTCTTATTTTTGTTTTCACAACACAGAAAAAGATATTTGCTTCTTGTAGTCATGTAATGTAATTACTTTTAGAAATAATTTGAACACAAGGCATACATTTTATACAGTGCAGAACAGCACTGTATTTGTCGAGTTCAAGTCTAAGGATTGAGGCCGGACAAACTGTTTTTTTTTTATTGCTTTGATGGGTGGACGAGCTCACAGCCCACCTGGTGTTAAGTGGTTACTGGAGCCCATAGACATGCACAAGGTTAATGCGCCACCCACCTTGAGATATAAGTTCTAAGGTCTCACGTATAGTTACAGCGGCTGCCCCACCCTTCAAACTGAACGCATTACTGCTTCACGGCAGAAATAAGCAGGGCGGTGGTACCCACCCGCGCGGACTCACAAGAGGTCCGACCACCAGTAAACCAGTGAAATATCTTGGTCTTGATACATTTTATTACCATTTAACTAATCTCAGTGTAACTTATATTTCAGACGAGGAGAGCTCCGGTATGCGCAAGTCTGCCGTAGTGAGCTGGTACCTAGAACAGCTGGTGGCACAAGGACAAATCGAAAGCGAAGACGAGTTACTTGAACGAAAGACACTAGTTGAGAAAGTCATTGATAGACTTATGTATCACGTAAGTGTATTTTGTGTGTGTTTTTAAGCTATTGCATAGATTTTATCGCGGACTTTGAGCGCGGCGATTGAATCAACAAATTCCGTAACGAAAATAACCTGACACCCCCACTACGCGTAATATGTAGCTCGCGTTCAACACATTCACACGTTGCGCTTGTGTAGTGTTTGTGAATAAGCGCGTGGCGTAACGTCACACTGCATGCGCATCATGAAAAGCCTGCCCATCTCTCGCGCAGTCTAGCTTTTGAGTGTGAAGGGGATAGTTAATGTTTTGCTTTTATTAATGTTTAATATAGCGTTGTCTTGTTTTTTCTGCATTATTGTATTGAGCCTCGCCATGCGAATTTCTAAGTAATATATACCTAACACATTTGTGTTCACGAATATCTCCGTAAATGTGACGAAGCGTTTTTGTATTTTTCTTTGTCACATGTCTATAGCGCGTTTTAGAAAATACATACAGCTCAATCTATTGACAACAAACAAAACCTTTCTCAGCCTTAACTTTGAGACATAAACGAACAATTTAATGATTTTTTTTTATAAAAACAAGAATATTATGATAATAATTGTATATGTTGGCACCTCATATGTTTCATTACACAATAATAAAGAAATAAATTAATTCGGATAATTTCCGAACTGACAGTAAATGAAACACAATATGCTTAACAATAAGGGAAATATTTTTATTGTTTCATACAAACTCAAGATATTTTATTTCAATATATTTTCAGAACATTCAAAATATAATAACATTATTATACAATTGCGTCACTTATAATCTAAATAACATTCGCGGACAAATCTCGAACTTTAAAAAATAATAATTTGGAATTTAAGCAAAAAGAAACAAAATGCAACAAAACGCTTTTATTACTTTTCAAGTTAAAGTGACTATTGCTATCTAGCGCTAAGCCCGACAACTCTTACATGTTCAAACTCCATTGCTCACATAGGATGTGGAATAAAGTATTTTCATGATTCAATTTGCATAGCGTAGTTTAAAATTAAATCAGACACGCTGGCCCCCTCCCACCTACACGGAACAATAGAGCTGGTGCGGCTTGTGAAGCGGCTGAAAAAGCCACAGCATGCAAATACTCTATCGGATCTAGGCTCGGAATATGTTTTTGAAGTTATACTTCTTTAGGCGCGTTATGAAAAATCGATGAGAGTGAAATTTTACGATGCGCGCGCACCGTGACACAAAATTAACAGAAATGAAGTTGCCCACTAAATCGCTCATTACAATACGAATGACGTAACTTGGCGAGTCTGAATATAGCCGCAGGTGAACTTTCGCGCATGTACACTCGTAAAAAAAGTGTTATTAGCATTCATTTTTTAACGTTAAATATTTATTATTAATTATTTAATATTTAAAAAAAAAGAAATAAATTTAATAAAAAAAAAAATAACTTCTTACGCGCGTACATAAGTACACTCACCCTTTTTTTATTATTGTTTTAATATTAAGTTATCATTGTCTAATTATAATTGCATAAGTTGATAAAAAATGCTATGCAATAGCTTTGCCGCGGCAGTTCCAGAGTGCCACACGTTTTTTTTTATATTAATTTAAAAATGTACCCTTAATTCTCCATTGATTATATTTATATGTATATAAGTATATTTTTTTTTGTATAAAATAGTAATGTTGTCATTATAATATCATTTTTTTATTGCCTTTGTAGGCAGACGAACATACGGCCCGCCTGATGGTAAGTGGTCATAGACAGGTAGGCAGCGGCTTGGCTCTGCCCCTGGCATTGCTGAAGTCCATGGGCGACGTTATCCGCTCGCCATCAGGTGGGCCGTAAGCTCGTTTGCCTATAAGGGCAATATCAGATAAAATAAATAAATAAAACACTCAAGTATTTACACTATTGTTTTTTTTTATTTATTTCAGGATCAAGTAATAATACCTTTATCAACGACCGGACTCAGAGGAACTCAGAAGTCGTCGGAACAAGACATAGAAGACGATCCGTTATTAGTCGTGCATCCAAATTATGTTGTCGACGCGTAATTCCTAAGCTCAATATAGTTTAAAAAAAGAAAAAGAAATCCACCTTTTTTTTTCTCCTACCTAAGCTGTGAGCCTTGAGAGGCTATATCAGCGTAACCTTAACTAGTAGGTGAGCTCACGGGGCTCAAACCTGACGACGTTGCTAACAAGTCGTTGCTTTCGAAGTCATCGTGGCCTAACGGATAAGACGTCTGGTGCATTCGTGTTGAGCGATGCACCGGTGTTCGAATCCCGCAGGCGGGTACCAATTTTTCTAATGAAATACGTACTCAACAAATGTTCACGATTGATTTCCACGGTGAAGGAATAACATCGTGTAATTAAAATGAAACCCGCAAAATTATAATTTGCGTAATTACTGGTGGTAGGACCTCTTGTAAGTCTGCGCAGGTAGATACCACCACCCTGCCTATTTCTGCCGTGAAGCAGTAATGCGTTTCGGTTTGAGAGGTGTGGCCGCCGTTGTAACTATACTTGAGACCTTAGAACTTATATCTCAAGGTGAGTGGCGCATTTACGTTGTGAATGTCTATGGGCTCCAGTAACCACTTAACACCAGGAACTCCTAAGAAACCCTACCATCAGTTCGTGAGTTCATAATGCTCATAAGTGGTGATTTATTGACATGATCATGAGTTTCTTTGTCAGTTAGAAAAATTAAATTAAATAGATATGATTCCGCCTCAGTGGCTTTTTTTTGAGTGAGTGATTATCGTCGTTCATGCACCAATGGCAGGCGCAGAGCACAGCCGCTGCCTGCCGTTGAAATTACAAATATTTATATTAGACTAGCTGGCCCGGCAGACCTCGTAGTGCCTCAATCGATAAATAAAAGACCTAAACTTTTGTATAAAATAAACTTAAAACAAACAAAAGGAATCCGTCCGACGGGGGACACATCAAAGGAAAAACAATATTGATATTTTTATTTAATTCCGAGCGTTTTCATATTTATCTACCTTTTAAACCTTCTCTGGACTTCCACAAATAAATTCAAGATCAGAATTAACCAAATCGGTCCAGCCGTTCTCGAGTTTTAGCGAGACTAACGAACAGCAATTCATTTATATATATATAGATTAGAGATTAGAAATATAACAAATATTTCACTTCTAAACTACGATCTAGGTGACTCGATATCTCGTTCTGATAAATTAATGTGTAAAATAAAACAAACCACAACAAAAACACAAACGCATTCTTCATTCGACATAATACATCAACAACGTTCAAAAACCTTATACAAATCATTTAAACTAGCTATTTGCAGTATAGCTCCATTACTTACAAAACTACTTGGCGGTAGGAAATATTTTCTTATGGCCGGGAATATCACGTGCTCTTGTCTCCTGTGCTCCGACGACACGCTCTCGGCATTAGGATCCGGATTAGGTTGGGCATAAAACTTGGCCGTCTGTCTGCAGAAAGTCTCAAAGCACTCCTTTTCAGAATCCCAATTGACTTCGGTAACGAGACGGACTAAATACGTCGGTAAAGCACCCACGAACGGAACGTGACCATCTGGAATATGAATCTTTACTAATCATATTATTGGTGGCAAAAGTACTGGTTTTTACTGGTGGTAGGATATCTTGTGAGTCCGCGCGGGTGCGTACCACCGCCCGTGGGGCAGCCACTGGTGGGGCTGTAACTATACTTGAGACCTTAGAACTTATCTCAAGGTGAGTGGCGCATTTACGTTATGGATGTCTATGGGCTCTAGCAACTACTTAACACCAGGTGGGCTATGAGCTCGTCCACCCATCTAAGCAATACAAAAAATGGTCCATACCAGGCTCTTCAGGTTATGCATATTTATAAAAGCCACGCAATTGAAAATAAATATCTAGAATGGTGGGATGTTATGTTGAACACTGACGCTCCCTAATTATATAATACAAAAAAAAAATTTATACCCAAAAGTAACGGTAGGGCCAATAATTCTCCATTTCCATTTATTTCCAGAGAAAAATATTCGTAGAGCATTGCGCGTTTGCTCAATAATAATTGGGTCATATGTTGAGCCATTTCTCCTGTATCTCCTGAGAATATAAAAAAATGATTGTTTATTACATATTACTCTGGTACAACCTTACTCTATATATATCGTTGCTAATTACAAGATAAACTTCAAAATATCTTAAGGATTTTTTACCGAGCTCAGAATCCTGTTCGGAGTTTTGAGTGCTCCCGTTCAGACCAAGAACAAATAATTCTTCCAATGGCAATGGATTCGACAGTTTGATGAAACCGAAGTTTTGAAAATCGTATAGTAATGTCTCGTAAAACAATTCCTCCCTGAAAAAAACACATTTTAAGCTATTGCATAGCTTTTATCGCGGGCTTTGAGCGCGGCGACCGAATCAAGAAATTCCGTAACGAAAATAAAACCTAACACCCCCCACTCCGCCTGCCATGTAACTGTGTAGTGTTTGTGAATAAGCGCGTAGCGTCACTTCACACTGCATGCGCATCATGAAAAGTCTGCCCATCTCTCTCTCGCGCGGTCTAGCTTATGAGTGTGAAGGGGACAGTTCAGGTTTTGCTTTTGTTAATATTTATAAATATAGCATGGTCTAATTTTATTATTGTTTTAACATTAAATTATTATTAACTAGTTATAATTGCATAAGTTGATAAAAAATACAATGCAATAGCTTTACCGCGGCAGTCACCGAGTGCCACACGTGTTTTTTTTATTTTATGTTATACATAACACTAAAAGTAGCACAGACCCTTTTTGGAAGCGGCTAAATATCTGCGCTCGCAACGCTCTTTATATACTGAGATTTTTGATTATTTTTCCTATATCATCTATTGTATTTGGTGTGTACCTGATTTTTCTAACTTCCTCTACACCTATATTAATGATGTCAGTATATCACGAGACTGCAACGGGTTGGTCTGAGGGGCGGGACCGTTTTCCAAATATAACTAAAACTTCAACGTATTGTCTCAAGGTGAATGGCATTCACTTTAATGTTTGTGAGTACAGATGAACACTCAAAATACCCGTAAGTTCACTAAAAGCAATGTCCGTTCTCGTCAAATATGGCCGTTATACCGGTGTAAATTTTATATGCAATCTTCTTTAACACCGTTCTGATTTGAAACTCAAATAAAGAAAAAACGATAGTAAAAAGAGATAAATACATACATTTAGATGATTTATCTATGAAAAAAAAACGGGATAGAATATTTCTGAATGGTTCACTTTTATCATGTGTGAACGGCAAACAATTATTTTTTATCATTCTTATAAATGGAAGGAACTACATACACTGTTTTGTGGACCTTTAAAATTATATCTTAATTTTATCGTTTATTGTAAATACAGTTTTCATTTTGATAGAACAAATAAATAACTCACGTCAATCTTGTCGTATCACAAAGATACAGTTTCGTAGAGTGCTGTATTAATGACTTGTGACAATCTATACAGGCTATGAATATTAAATTAGCCAAGATTTCCCTTAGATTTGAGTTACAATTGTTCTCCACTTCTAATCTGAGCTGTTTTACGCTCGTCAGTTTCGTTTCTATCCTCTGGTATTGAAACGTTCTAGTCTTGAAGGAATCTTTAGGGTCTACGTACGTAATATTGGCTTGGCCCACCTCAGTATACTGTTTCCATTTCTCTTGTACTTTATTATCTTCTGCTGGCTCTTTTACTATAGAATTGTTCAAGTCTTGTTCACTAGGTATTTTCTGTTGTTGATCTACATCATTTACTACTGCACTCGCATTATCTCTAGTGAGTTGATTCGTTTTATTTGGTTCAAGTTCAAAGAACTTGTCGATCTTCTGGACGTTAGGGTTGACGCGTACCATGTGTGCGGCGGAAGTTTTTGCCGCGTCCGTGGGCTGGTCCGCGACGTCCCTGGGCTGGGCGGCGCCGGGGAGGCGGGCCTGCGTGTACAGCACGCGCGTGGAGCTACAGCCCAAGAGTTTCGTTTCGATGCACGTCTTGATCTTCTCGACGATTTGCTCCTCGTAAAGAAACTGAACTTCGTGTTTCGTTGGATGAACGTTGACGTCCACGTTTTTCGGATCTGAAACGAACGGTGGTTCATCACATCAACGGAAGTTCCTTATGGGACGATGCGGATAGCCGGGAAAAAACGTCCGTAACGTAAGATTTTTATTAGTATTGCACACAGCGTACGACTTAACTTTGTAATTCTTCTATTTTCTAATATTTAAAAAAAAAGGCATACCCGCTGAGTTTCTTGCCAGTTCTTCTCAGGACGGAGGCTAGTTTTTGTGATTTGGCGATAGTTTCTTTTTGACGTTCAACAAGTATGTACTTTCATTTATGTTGAATAAAATGTTTGATTTGATTTAATAACGTACAAAAAATAACATATATTTTTATCATTCATTGACCACGATCTCAGAGCGTTCGTTTGCGCAATACACTAACTCTTATGCAAACAACCGTGAATGAAGTGTGCCACAATAAGTTCGCACGTTACCGAATGACCGTGGGTTGTTGCGAAACCTCCAGTTTTATTTTCTTTATACCTCGAATATAACTTAAAATTAATATTTCTATAATAAGACTTCGTTCCTATCCGGTGTCCCACGACACCACACATCTTCTTTTTTTTTCCCTACCAATGCTGATAGCCTGGAGAGACTATTTCAGCTTCGCCTTAACGTGTAGATGAGCTCACGTGGCTCAAACAGGGAGTGTTACTAACACTGGCCCTAGCAAGAGCAGTGCTTCGCAGAATCTACCAGCGGATCGGGAATGCGACTCACTGAGAAAATCCGGCGAGAAACTCAGTGGGCTAGGTTTGAGGGTTAATTTACTCGTCGAGCCCTTCGTTGCAAGCGACGGGTTCGGCGAGGACGGTGACCGGTGCTTGAGGTATCTAAGAGCATCGTTAATGGATTCGCAATGACGTGTTTAGGACGACGTCGATAATCAAACTGTTACTTGAATATACTTTAAGTACATTATTTTTAAAACTCATTTATATTCTATATATAGGATATGTTTCTAATTGAATTTGATATATAGCATATTAATAAATATATATAATGGAATACACACAACATATCAATTCCGTAATTCGACTTACCTAATTCAATGCTCAAGTATACAAATGCGTGTGAGTTTTTTGGTAAATATGTTGAATAAACAGAATCCACGGCTTTTCTTATTGCTAAAAGAAAATTTAAATATAATTTTAATACATAGACTCTAATCTTGAGTCAATCTGAGAACCAGGGTACAGTGAATGTCACTAAACCAACAAGTCAAGAATCTATTTAATAGTGTACCCACTCACCCTGTGAATCCACAAGCCTATGATTGATGAACAGGAGCAGTATCCCTTTCTTATTGGAATAATTAACGTTTGTAATGTATCCATGTATCGACAGCTTCAAGTTTGCATCCAAAATTTCAACCTCTATCAGCTCTCTTGCTATTGTGTTACCATAAATCTAAATAAACAAAAACACTAATCAAAGTGGCCCATTTTTATAATATTATCTTCATGATATAATAAACTGTGTTCACTTGTATGACATATGTGAAATAAAATAGTAAGAATATAGCAGCGATGAAAGTGTAAAGTACTAGATTTAACTTTGAATCACGTTACATTTACTGAAAATTTTATCGTTAATTATCATTTTACATTCATATTGTTCTTTCATACTATCATTTAACACTGTTCCATAAGCAAATCAGATTTGAGAAGAAACTTTCAAACTCCTGGATTAGTGTACTTACAATTCTAACATTTTCTATGACAGATGATTTCATCGCTGTTTTCAAGTCAGTATTCTCACTGAATTTTTTCAAAGTAAATCCAACTTGACTATTATGTATAGCATATCCTCCGACCACTTCCATTAAACGCGTGTATTCTTCTGTAGGACTACGCAATGCCCCTTTACGTGCCACAACATTATAAAATAAATCTTCAACGGTTATCTGAGTGCCGTTGTTGCCAGCACAAGCTTTTATGGGGCCTTTCAGTTTTCCATTTTCATATGAGGCTCTGGAAACAGTTTTAACTTATTCATTTTTTTTGTTAGTCTTTGTGTCAATGACGTTTCATTGAATAATTTGTGTATAGAACATCATGTTTTATAATGTATTGGAACAGTAGTGATTTATAATCTGTATGTTTTTAAGCAATTACCAGAGCATGCAGCCAACACAATGTGAATGCCATCTCCCACCTTGGCATGAGGTTGAAGTCTTAATCATATTGTATAACTGTGGCCATGACCTTCAGTTAGAAAGGTAGGATGGTGGTAGTTATCAGTGTAGGGTAACATGCTCTAAGACTGTCTTTCTTCAAATGAAGTTAGCAGAGAGTATATGTACCCTTCAATAGATAATGGCTTAGCTGTGACTTTGGCATTGCTGACTTCTATGAAGTAACTACCACCATTAGGAATGCTATATGCGTCGTTTGACAACAATGTAAACAAAATAGTAAAAAGAAGTAACAGCTAGTGGGGCATGTAATATATATTCTGGGGTATTGTTGGGGTACAAATTCATTTACATTTCAATTATAACAAAAATAAAGTTATTTAAGATTTTTTTTTCATTTGCTTTTTGTATTATTTTATGTTTATTTATGGCTTTTTTTTAATGTTTGTCTTCGGGACCAACTTCAGAAACCTTTAGAGGAATTATTACTAATTATAAAGTTCATAAATTTCATACTTGTAAGCACATTTGTCTTGTGCAGTTTTTGTCAATATTGTAAGGTGTGCAATATGACTGATACTCGCGAGAGCCTCTCCACGAAATCCGTAGGTACTGATTTCTTGTAAGTCCTCATATTTTCTGAGTTTAGATGTTGTGAATCTCTCGCATACTATACCTAAGTCTTCATTTCTTATACCTGTCCCATTGTCCTGTATCTGGAATTTTTTTATTATTAAAAATAACTCTCCTGCTTACGACCTTATAATTTACTTTATTTAATGCAACTACAACAACTACATGAAATGCATACAAAGTTACCATTGAGTATCAAGGCTAAGTATAAAAAAATAAACTCATCAAACTCATTCAAATGTTTTGAGCTATCACTGCTAATGAGGATTCGGTAAACAAGAATGAGAGTTCTCGATGTGTTTGAAACATTATTTTATGTTTTGTTTGTAGACTTTTAAATTAAAAGTGTATTTTAATAGTGTTATGCATAAAGTAACAAACACAACAGGTCTTGAATTTGAAAATAAGCTTGGCACAACTACTATCAACTGACCTGTAAGAACTTCAAACCACCAGACTTCACTGTAATAATGATGTTAGTTGATTTGGCATCCAAGCTGAAACCATATTTCATGTAATATCTGTTTAATGGGTAATTTGAAGTTGTTTCAAAAAATTTCCAGATTGTGCACGGTAGGGAGTGGCTTGTTTACGGCAGGCAGCGGCTTGGCTCTGTCTCTTGCTGAAGTCCATGGGCGACGGTAACCACTCACCATCAGGTGGGCTGTATACTCGTCTGCCTATACTGGCAATAAAAATTTTAAAAAATTATGATTGATGATGAAAAAAATATTGATTAAAGAGGCCTATGTTCAGCAGTGAACAGCTTTACTCTGAGGTGATGATGATGATATGCGCTTTTACTAATTTAATATATAACAAACTTAATATGATTAAATAACAAAGTTTTTGATAAAATAATTTCTAATCTATCTACCTGTTTTCTATAAGTTCTTTTAATGCATTAGCTGGTCTTTGCACTATTTCACCAGCAGCAATACGGTTCACAACTTCTTCACTCAGTTTTCGAATTATTCCTGGCTCATTCATTTATAAGGTTGAAATTCATTAAATTTAGGCTAAACTTTCCTTTTGGGTCGTCGATCTGGAAGTTCACAATATTTTTGTAGTTATTACTCATAAATAAAAAACCTTTTTGCAAAATTTCAAATTTTTACAATCGAACATTGACGAACAAATAATAATAAAAAAAAACCGAAAATAAAAAAGGGGGCCAAATTCAGTGAGCCATGTACGGTACTGTCATTGAAGTTTTTAGCGGGAACGCGAGGGGTGAAGTTGTGTGATTTGTTTTATTGTGTCTATTTAGTGTTTCTTCAGGTTTAAATGTGTAATAACGGTAGTTTTTTAACTGTTTAATATCTGTGAAAGTGCATAAATGTGGAAAAATCAAACAAAGCCACTGGACGTAATTTCTCGGGATCCTCCAAAAAGTCAACTGAAAAATCTCAGTAAATCACCACCATTGTACTAAGATTATAATATTTCATCCCATATCATCTCATCTCATTTCATTTAATTTCATTCCAGTTTATAAATGTCTCATTTAGTCATCTTCATTTCATGGCTTTTCACTCCATATTATCATTTTTTATAAAAATAAGAATTAAATAAAAATAAGACATGACTTAAAGATCTAGTTACCAGGACATAAAAAAATGTACTGTCAAGTGTCATTAATTGTACGTACAGTACGGTACATATTTGGTTTTTGGTGTTGTTTTTATATTTTAATAAGCTAGTTGCAATCGTCTAATTATCAAGCCAAACTAGTGCTAATAGTGTAAGCCGAAATGTTACAAGATAGCGATGAAGACGATTTGAATGACTTAAATCAACTCAATGCAGTTTTAGAAGCTGACAAGCAAATAATCAATGAAGAAACGGTATCAGATTCCTGCTCAACAACCACCAATGCAGCATTGCACAGTAAAGTATCTGAAGAGTTATCTTTGATAGATACAGCACTGACTCTCAATAAACTCACTGATGAAAAGTTAAGAAAACTTGAGAACCTACTGATTGAACGATTGCAAGATTGTAAAAAAAAAAAACTTGCAGATTTAAGAGATGTCAGACCTACCAATTACCGGCAGGCTTGTTTTCGCTATCACTACTGTGCAAAGCCTTATTTTAAAGATAAATATAACTTTGCGGCACCTAGCAATGAGGATACAATCCTTATGCTGCAATCAAACATGTTTGACTTTTCACAAATCGTCGCAGTAACCGGCTGGACCCTCCGAGACAAAAGTCAATTTCTTGCTGAACTTCATAAAATGTCTCAGACGATCAGAAAAAATGAACTTCATGAAAAAATTAGTGTTCTACGTAGAGCACGAAAAACAAAAGATAAGAAGGAAATTGATAAAGAAATTGCAAAACTCAGCAAGGAGCTATATGATGTTAAGAAGAAACCACTTTCAGAATTGGCTCTAGACATAGATGAGGATTATGATTGGGATGTTCTAGCCAACAAGTTGAACCGTAGGCATACAGCACAAGAATACCAGGCACTGTGGAAGCTATTCTTTCATCCCAGCATTAACAAGAAGACATGGACTAAAGCTGAACATTTATCTCTACAGAGTATCTCCAGTGCTCATAAGTTCCAGGATTGGGATACAATTGCCAAAGAACTCAATACTGGGAGAACAGGCTACCAGTGTTTTGTTTATTTTAGAACAAATATGGTAAATTCATTCAATGGAAGAAAATGGACTGAGGAAGAAGAAGAGTACTTAAGAAGATTGATTGACTATTACAGAGAAGACACTTATATTCCATGGGGCAGAGTTGCAGCAGCAATGGAAAATAGAACCAAAATACAAATATATAACAAGTATACAAGGCTTGTTGGTAATAGAAAAGGTAGATTTTTGCCTGAAGAAGATGCAGTCATTTTAAATTATGCAAGCAAGTTTGGAACAAATTTTCGGAAAATGTTGACATATTTGCCGGGACGTTCCATGGTTCAAATTAGAAACCGCTATCGTGTACTAAGTAAAAGATGTACCTCCACAGTGTGGACAGAAGAAGAAGATAAAATGCTCATACAGCTCATGGCAAACCAAGATGGAAATGTAAATTTTTCAAGTGTATCTACTCATTTTCCGGGAAAAGACAGGGAAAATCTTAGAAGTAGGTACATTACATTATTAAAATGGATGAGAAAGCACCCTAATGTTGATATTAAACATGCTCCACGTAGAGGAGCAAGACGTCTCACTCATGGTGAAGCATCAGCTGATTTAAACAAAGCACTTGAGGATTTAAAAAATCGCATGGAAAATGAAGTTAAAACAAAAAAAAGCAAAAGGATGACAAGAGAATCATCAGAAAGAGATATAGAAAAAGCTATAATTGCAAGTCTTGTCAATGAATTACTAGTGGAAAGAGACATGAAACTTACCGAACAATATGAGAAAGATTTGGACATAATTGATGTTGATGAAAGACCACCATCTCTGAATGTAACAAATTTAAACAAAATTTTGACTCTTCTAAATGCAAGTATAAATAAAACCAGTTTTCAACACAGCAGCTATGCCAAGACTTATCCAGAATTACTTTCAAACACACAAGTAAATTTGACACAGGTTAAGTCATATTCTAGAAAGAATATATCCCCAAATAATCTTGATTGTACAACAGAAATTTGGGGAAATAATGCTCTTGGCCCAGTAAAACATGTCTTGCCTCCACATTATGCAACAATAACTGGGTGCAGATCCCTAATAGCCTACGCTTGTACTAAAACTTCACAAACAGAAATAGATGTAAACATTAATCATGTAATGAAACGTAATACATTTTTGAGAGATCAATTTAATCTACTTATAGATCGTTTCAATACATTATTTCTTTGGCCAATGTTATTGTCTAATGAAAGTCCATATATACCTAATCTCACAGTACCTGGTACCTCCAAAGAAACACAAAAGCGGACTTATATGAAAAATCAGACACCATCAGATATACCAGCATATCATGTTCCATACAAAATCAGATCCAAAAATCGTGACAATGAGATTAATAAAATAAATGAAATAGATTTGAAAGATAAATTCTTAAAAGATGATGTGACAATCAAAGAACAGTTTACAGAATGCGGACTGATGGAAATTGATGATGAGTGATTTAGTAGTAGATTTTAATTTAATAATGTAAAATCAGATAATATGTATATAATTTAATACACAACAATGTGTATTTAATTCAAGTAACTAGTTTACAACATAATACAAGTGACTGAACAGACAAGTGAAAAACGATTAAATTAGAAAGGCGATTAGCGACATAATGCCGCTCTGAACTGTGTACTTCAGTTTCACCTGCATTCAAATTAGAATTTGGGCCTAAGAGTAAAAGCTGTCTTGATCTGAATTACTCTAAGTAAATAAGTTATTTAATGCAGAATTCATAATTAGCAGAGTTCGCTTGTAAATAATAATGAAATACATATTATACAAAGCCATATTTAAATTTCTACCGATTGTGGGCTGAAAATAACGTTGCTGGTTAAATTAAGTATGGAAATTATAGGGTTACGTAATATATGTCGAAATTCACAAGAGGCTCAGTGGTGTAAATAAACATATTAGTAGAAAACATTGTGCTCTAACACACAACTATCTTCATTTTTAACAACTTCTACATTCTTTCAATGTAGCAATTGGCTTCATATGGTGGTCTAACATATTTATAATACATATATTAAAAATGTAATTCAGCACAAGGAATGAAAGAATGAAGTGAATTGATTTAATCAAGTTATGTACAATAATATTTCATAATTTTATTAACCTACTACAAGGAATGCCCTAATATTTAAAGTTCTGCAGATAAATCTCAGTTTATAATTTATTGTTTTTTTCGTAATCCTTGGTTACTAATGCTATCAACTTTTAGCCAGGTGTGTGAATGACATATTATGAACATTCCCGTCGTTATTACTGACTACTAATACGTTAATACTCTGTACTACAATCTAATCTGGTGTTCGGGTAACTCCGCACGTTGGATTGGCACAATTTGAATTGTATTTCAATTGAATAATTTCTGTGTTTAATTCACTTTCTGTAGAGAGTCCGAAAATCTGCAAGTGAAATGTTTACGCATTGTCACTTTATCCATTTTTATCAATTAAGAATGGTTTATGTGTATAATTAGGTCAATTATAAGATATTCTTAAAACCGTTGTCAAATATATCATTGTATTAATCCCTATACCTATTTCTAAATCCGCCTCTGTGACAGAATCTAATACGGAAAAACTGTCTTGGTACGCCCCTGCACTGTTATTTTTAACTATATAGTTATTTAATATACTGTTCAGTTATTTTGTTCTCGTTGTATTTTTTTTTCTAATCTATCAGCCCACTCACGTCCACTGCTGGACATAGGCCTCTCCCAAGCCTCGCTACAAAGATCGGTCCTGCATTGTTTGCATCCAGCGGATCCTCATGAACCTCAATAAGTCGTCGGTCCATCTTGTGGGAGGTCTACCCACACTACGCCTTCCGGCACGCGATCTCCGCTCAATAACCTATGGCACATAATGTCAAATAATAAAATAGCCGCGAAGGGTATTGATTTTGCAACTAAATAGTCACAGTTTGCTCAAGATCAAGGAACAACGTTTATGCGTTTTGACAGTAACTGTGTTTGTGAATGGATAAATTGTTTCTGTAATAAAATTGTCATATTTCTCAATTTACAATTTCGTACATTCACATTATTGGTGATTGGCCATATTGTGTGACCCAAGGGTACAATAATAATGAATATGGCCATTTTGCTTATTGTGGACCCCGATTAATGGAATGGTGGAACATTCATAATTTTTTTCCGTCCTTTACTTGTTTTCTCCCTACCTTTTTTTTTATTGGTTAGATGGGTGGACGAGCTTACAGCCCACCTGGTGTTAAGTGGTTACTGGAGCCCATAGACATCCACAACGTAAATGCGCCACCCACCTTGAGGTACAAGTTCTAAGGTCTCAAGTATAGGTACAACGGCTGCCCCACCCTTCAAACCGAAACGCATTACTGCTTCACGGCAGAAATAGGCAGGGTGGTGGTACCCACCCGCGCGGACTCACAAGAGGTCCTACCACCAGTAATTACGCAAATTATAATTTTGCGGGTTTGATTTTTATTACACGTTGTTATTCCTTCACCATGGAAGTCAGTCGTGAACATTTGTTAAGTAAGTAAGTAAGTTAAGTAAGAAAAATTGGTACCCGCCTGCAGGATTCGAACACCTGTGCATCGCTAGATCCGAATCTACACCAGACCAGAGAACCTACATCCTTTAGGCCACGACGTTGGCCATATTGTGTGACCCAAGGGTACAATAATAATGAATATGGCAATTTTACATATTGTCGACCCCGATTAATGGAATGGTGGAATATTCATGATTTTTTTCCGTCCTTTACTTATTTTCTCCCTACCTATACTGATAGCCTTGAGAGGCTATTTCAGTTTTGCCCTAACTAGTTGCTAACACTGGCCCTAGCAAGAGCAGTGCTTCGCAGAATCTACCACCGGATCGGAAACACGACCCAATGAGAAGATCCGGCGAGAAACTCAGTGAGCTGTGTCTGCAGGTTAATTCGCTCGTCGAGCCCTTCGAGCGACGGGTTCGACGAGGACGGTGATCGGTGCTTGTGGTACCTAAAACACCGTTAATGGATCGGGAGGATCCATAATGACGTGAGTCCTTTACAATTGACAGTTCCTACAATAGAACACTTAGAACGTTTTACACAAACGTTTTTGATTTCTGTACAATACAATTTTTTAAGTATTATTTGCCACCTTCAAAACTGCCGCTAGTGCTTCGCAGAATCTACCACCGGATCGGAAACGCGACCCACTGAGAACATCCGGCGAGAAACTCAGTGGGCTGTCTGTGGGTTAATTGACTCGCCGAGCCCTTCGTCGCAAGCGACGGATTCGACGAGAACCATAAAGGGGGCTTGAGATACCTAAAAGCACCGTTAGTGAATCGGGAGGATCCGAAATGACGTATTTTGGACAACGTCTACTGTTTACCATTCGGTCCACAGGATCGGAAATGTAGTTACCGGCGGCCACGATGAGAGGGTTCTCGTGTCGTGCCGCTTTCGCGAAATATCGCACTGATGCTGACTGTAGATTCTGATACTTACTGATGGACTCTAGGTCCATGTCATCGTGGAGGTCTACGTTTCGGATGTACCATGGGGTGTGTCGTGTCTGTTGTGCGACAATAGTCACTCGTATTTTATACCTAGTAAAAAGTGGCGGTCGCTTAGTTACTTATGAATACCGTCTTAAACAATTGTTTACACGGGTTGGGCTTATCATAGTCAACCAACTATGTGAATATTAAGGAGACAGTTAACTTTAATTAATCTTAGTTAACTAAATGCAATGTTGCGCCGATATATATATTGAAGTAATCTTCTAATTTTATTTTGAAGTAATCTTTATAAACAATTTTATAATTTTTTTGTAAAACAAACAACATGCTATAGGCATCGCTGTATAAGTTATTTGGCTTTTTAATGGAGAGATCAAATAAAAATTGCAAAAAAAAAAACGTGTGTCCAAACTCATGAATGTCATAGGCACTGACTACTGTCACTTGCACTATCTATTGTACACTTACTTATACTTCATTGATCTCCAGGACTTTTTGGCGGAAACGCGAGGAGTGAAGTTGTGTGATTTGTTTTATTTTGTCTATTTAGTGTTTCTTCGGGTTTAAAAGTGTAATAATGGTGGTTTATTAACTGTTTAATATCTGTGAAAGTGCACAAATGTGGGAAAATGAAACAAAGCCGCTGGACGTAGCTTCTCGGGATCCTCCAAAAAGTCCACTGAAAAAATCTTAGTAAATGACCACCATTTTACTGAGATTATATTTCATCTCATATCATCTCATTTAATTTCATCCCAGTTGATTAATGTCTTAAATTAATCATCTTCATTTCATTTCACTCCATAATATCATTTTTCAAAAAAATATAATTATACATTAAAATAAGACATGACTTAAAGGTCTCAGTTACCAGGTCATAAAATCCCTTAAAAAAAGTGATCTCCATACAATGTTTTGTCTATGCTGTCAATAGCAAAAAAAGTACAATGTAAATACTAGGTTTCCTACTTCATTGGTAAATACGGATAAATTGTTTGGCATTACTAAATAAAATAAAAATCAAAGATAACATGCTAAAATGTTGGATTTAAAGGCCTGCTTTGTATGCTTTAGTGTTGAAACGAAGTTAATTAATTTGGATCGAGAGAAAGTGAGAAAAGATTTTAACTTGATTTCCGGTCTTCAGGTAAGTTTAAATGATTAATTAAACAAATTATTAAATAGTAAATATAGGATTAAAATATATTGGAGTAATGGATTTTTTGTTCTTATTAATTTACATAAACGTAACACAACTTATTATTATTATCCCTTAAAATAAACTGTTCTCAGCAAAGTGTATTATAACGTTTCAGACTAAGCCTGGTGAAGGCCTTCCAGAATACTTGTGTGTGTATTGTTTGGCTTTTGTAAAACGCTCAATTAAGTTCCGAGAAAAATGTAAGAGAGCTCATTTTGCTTTACAAGAAATTCTGCAAAACTGTAAAGAGGTAATTAGTTTTTTTGTTTTTATTTTAATTTTTTTTTTATGTATTTTCTTGTAAATAATTTAGGAAATAGCACAGACCACTGCCTAGTGTTTAGTGGTTGTTGGATAGTATATGTGAAAAAAATATGGCTGTTTTTGTTATTTCATCTCACAATCCTAACTTTACAGATAAAAACATATCACTTAACATCATTTGATGGAAAACGTCTGGGCATTGGACCCCAGCTATCCTATGTGGACCTAGACAAAACTCACTATGAACAAACAAAATTTCAATGGGTGAAACATAATCGGATCATTACAACTACAGGTGACATAATCCCAGTAGCTCACTGCAGTACACTGGCAAACCAAGACATATTTTTTGAAATTGAAGTAAAGAATAATGAATTATCTGAGAAAGTTAAAACAGAAGTTGTAGAAGAGCAATTTGTGAAAAGTTTGACAAAAAATGAAACATATGAAGACACAAATCTAGATGCTGGAGTTGATGATGATTATTATGACACAGAAGTTCAGAATGACAGTGATGGCCAGGAGACATTATTTCCTGTTATGTCTTGTGACATTAATAAGGATGAAAATGACAAGGCCGATGAGGAATATGCAAATGTATACCCTATATCAGTGAAAGAAGCAAAAGCAGCATTAGAGGTTCATAGGTTGTATAGCAGTAATGGGAAGCATATGTGTTCAATTTGTAGTAAAAGACATAACAGTGCCGAACGTCACAAAATACATTTGAGGATGCATGATAAGGTATAATGAATAAATAATAATTCTACTGGCTATATACATTACACACACTATTATTTAATTTAAAAGGTTCTTACTACGATTTCCCCATGAGGCAACATTGATGGGGCGAGTCATTAAATTCCATTGGTAAAACAAAAAACGCACCAGAAATGTAGACAGATTTTTCTGTTCCAAAATCATACCTTCAGTCTTCAGTGGTGATTGTCATGCATGCAACAGCTGCTAAACGTCAGGCACTCATTAAATTTGAAAATCTTTGAAAGAATCCGTTATATAATGGCGTGAGCAATAATATTGTTTAAAATAATTTAAGCATAGTTATTCTGTTCCTGAGTAATATTAAACTATTGAAAATATTAAAGAATTGGACACATATGAACATAAAATTATTCCAACTCATAGTAAAGATGACTGCTTGGATGGAAATTTTCTTAAATTTGAATTATGTTAATGTCTCTATAATTTATTTGCTTTTAAATTTTTTTTAAAGTGTAATAATATATTTACAGCACATTAGCGGCAAATATCATTGCAAAATATGTAATTATTATTACAAAACGGAATTTCTTCTACAGTCACACATGACTGAGAAACACATGTACAAATATGTTTGTACTAAATGTAAGGAGGTCAATTTTGATAGGTATGTGATAAAATTATGATTATTTTATACATTTCCTTTTTCTAACAATAAACTTACTAGAAATGTATGTCTGTCTATGTGATAAAAAGAAAAGCATCGGGTTTAATTTTACTATTAAATGAGGAATGCCATTTCTAAATTTTGTTTCTCCAAGCAGATCTTTGGGAAGGCTAAAAAGATCCTGATGAGAGTTTCTTTGAGAATAATATAGAGTATTTGTATCATAATAAAAAACTTCAAAAAGAGAAAAATATGCATGTTGAATGAATTGATTACAAGCACACAAAAATTAAAATTTTCTCCTACCTCGATACTTCGGTTTTCGTCCCGCTGTAGAGGGAAGAAAGTGTAACTTTTCCTCCCGCTGTGCAGGGAAGAAAGTGTAACTCTTTCTCCCTGGGTACAAGTGCGCATGTGCGTTAGTGTCTACGTCTGCTCTCACGCACCTAAAATTCTTGGCCATTGTTGTGCTCGGGTAATTTGCAATATTGTATTTAGTGTAAAAGTGAATTAAACAAAAGGCAATAAAATTTAATAGTGAAGTATTAAACAAAGATGAGTTCATCAGACAGTTCTTATTCAATTAGTAGTAGTTTATTTAACAATTAAAAAACAGTTAAATTGTTTTTTTTATGAGTACGGAGGAACTTTCGGCCTGGTAGGAGAAAAAATAGTATGTGCACCGCTGCAATGTACTATAATTTATAGCTATAACAATTTGTTCTCTTTTTGAAATTGTCTACAGTAACATGCTGATATTTTCCAAAATGTATATATTTATTACCCCAACACTTCTATCAACTGATTACATTTCTCTGAAATTTTAGAGCTTCAGCAAAACAGCATTTCATATGGACTCACATGCAGAAAGGACACAAAAAAGATGATACTTGGTACAAAAACAGACCGACGTGGCTTAGTTCCAGAGGAGGCAAACGGATTAAAGGCTCAAAACACAGCAAAACTCCTGTGACTACCAGTAGAAAATTCTCAAAGCTTCCGGAAGACTTCCTAGTTTATTCTCCCATAAGTCATTTAGAACAATACCAGCTAGTACAGGACAGAAAAAAGACAAATAACTATTTGGATTCACTTTTCAAATGCGAACTGTGTTATAGAGGCTTTAGGGAATCCACTACATATGAAAAGCATATGAAGAAACATGATCCGGTATGTCTTTATTCTTTTTATATACTTAATTTAAACATGAAAATAATAATTTCTTCAATTTTCATAAGTCAAGTTCATAATTTCATTCTTTAATTAAGATAAAATTTCATGTAAATTATGTTATCTCTGAAGGTATGCACATATGTACCTTTTACGTACTTGTATAATGATGGAACTAATGTCTAAAATAAACAAACTATTTGCATGAAATTGACTTTACTATATTAGTTTAAGAACATTTAAATATCAAGGTCTCAAGCAAACATGGAATAAAAAACTCATATTTATGTGTTGTTTACATATGGCACGGGACATATTAAATGGAACCCATACCCATGAACTCGTCGTGGCCTAAAGGATAAGACGTCCGGTGCATTGTATGTACCGATGCAACGGTGTTCGAATCCCGCAGGCGGGTACCAATTTTTCTAATGAAATATGTACTTAACAAATGTTCACGATTGACTTCCACAGTGAAGGAATAACATCGTTCAATAAAAATCAAACCTGCAAAATTATAATTTGCGTAATTACTGGTGGTAGGACCTCTTGTGAGCCCGCACGGGTAGGTACAACCGCCCCGCCTATTTCTGCCGTGAAGCAGTAATGCGTTTCGGTTTGAAGGGTGGGACAGCCGTTGTGACTATACGGAGACCTTAGAACTATATCTGGCGTATTGACGTTGTAGATGTCTATGGGCTCTAGTAACCACTTAACACCAGGTGGGCTGTGAGCTCGTCCACACATCTAAGCAATAAAAAAAAACATATTGTTTTAGATTCCATTCAATTTTTGGACTCTTCGATAATTCAGTCGAAACCGCTTTCGATTGTAGAATTTACCTAGTACAGGCTCTATTAAACCTTACCGTAGTTAATATATACTGTAATTTTCATCCAAGTGCACTATCACAACCCTATGTTATTTGAACTCATAGTGATGAAAGTTATACATTTAATTGAATTTAACAATTCATTAAAAACCAACTAACAGTTAACTAATATGACAACAATGATCAAGTTTTTAAAGGAAATGCAATATGTAATTATAGTGTTTATATATACTATACCTATGTATATAGCTGTTTATTTAGATATTTGTACTTTTTTGCTTTGAAATTTTTAAAATGTGTATAAAATAATATGACTGTTTCTTTACAGACCGTATCTGGTAATGTTCAATGTGATATGTGCAAACTGTATTTCTTGAATCAAAGGAAACTCTACAAGCATATGAGTTGTACGCATCTATTCAAGTATTCATGTCGTTTGTGCAGTTTCGTATGCGTCAATAGGTAAATATTTTCTTCGTTCAGATGTATTTAAATATCCTTTATTTAATAACGCATTATAGAAATGTCATTGTTGTAATTTGCCTTAATATGGTCTCGAAAGAAATTTAGGGCGAAAAAAAAAATGCAAGCTGTTTTCTGTACATTGCTTGGTTGAATATTATCATCGTGTCATGGATATAATTAAAATAATTTAAGAAATCATCCCATCTAGAGAGTTTCATCCTCGTGTAATTCTAAAGAAGGGATTGTGTGTACATAATTAAATCTAATTTGAAGATGTAATCTCACGTTTTTGTTGTCATAATAATATTTAAGACGGTTCGAATAATTTAAAGTTTTCGTGGTCACGGACCTCTCAGTGTGCTTAGTTCGAGTTTTTTAACGTTCTCGATAGCGTAAAAGTTAGCTCATATTTGTATCGAATGGGATTGTTTGCCTACGTTTGCCGCTAGGGGCGCTGTTCCAACTGCATACAAAATTGGGTTAACTTTTACGCTATCGAGAACGTTATAAAACTCGCACTAAGCACGTAAGCGTCGTTCATTGACATTTGAATATTGGGCCAGTTAGAAACGTTAACACTAGATTAAATCGTAAAAGGAGTTTTGATTTGACATACAATGCTGGCTGCAAAATACGAACGAACTTCGCACGGCGAACATATTATCGACACGAATGTTACAGTGTCTGTTACCGAGCAAAAGTAGATACAAGTTTTTGGGTTAATTTTGCTCATAGAACATACTATGAGCGTAATATATCGCACCTTTAGATGTGGAGTGGCTTAACTAAAATTTTTAAGACAATTAGTTTTATACTTTGAACGATTTATAAACATGTATTTTATCAGTTTATAAAATAAAATTTTTAAATTAAAAATTTTAAATAATATTTTTGTCTAGTAAAGGACAAAGTACACTTACCGTATCTTTTAAATCAAGCGCATATTTTAAACTTTAAGGTATGCGCCTTAAGGCTTGAAAGATTAAAATCGAAATTGAAAAACTATAATTCTTCAATTACATTTTGGGCGTTTAAAAAAAAAAAATTTTTTTTATATTAAGTCACTTCAATTCTAAAAGTGCGATTTATGGTCTTTGAAAATTAATTTGAAAGATAGATACATTTAAAAGACATTTGCAAAATGCTAATAACTTCCATAGTAAACAGCAAACACGTGGCCAGTGTACCTACACAATAATTGAACTACTAGGTATTGCTAACGTTATAAGAACATCGTCTACAACAATCCGTAGCCTGTAAATAATTAACTAAAAAATACTTTTCCAGGGGTCAAGCGCATGCGCATTACAGATGGCACAAAAATGTAACGTACCCCTGTCCCCACTGTGATAAAGTATTCAAGTAAGTATATATTTTTTAAAATATTCCGTTGGAGTTAATTAGAGGAAGAGGTAGACCTCAAAAAAAATCAATGGATCGCTTGAAAGACGATAATATGTGTAAGAGGGGAGTGAGCCAAGAAATTGTATATGATAGGGGAGTATGAAAGGAGAACACACCAATTGACTGGGAGAAGGGCAGGAGAATGACGATGCCGTTAGAGTCAATAGTATAGAAAAATTGTAAATAAAATTTCTATTTTTTATTGATTACATTATACATTGGCGAACTTAATATCTCTTATATTCTGTACCAGTCAAGCGCGTCAGGGCGACGCAGAGAAAGTTATGGTCGTTGCATATTCTAAGTAAATTGAACAACTGTACACATATAAATGTGAAAAGATCGGTACTTTTTGGTTAATTCACACTGACACGTTAGTTTTAGTTATAATAAGAAAAATGAAAATGATGATTGACATGACACGATATTAAGTGTTTTTTTATGATTTTGATGTTAAACTAAATATTCACTAGATTTCGCCCTACCATCCCACACAAATATAGACAGCTTTCAATATAGAAATAGGCTGGCGCACGTATTGTGGTAATTTTCTTTTTTGGTTCATCGATTAGGAATTTCTACAAATACACTTTTGTCGAAGCCACTGAAGCGCTTTATTTGAATTTGTTCACAGAAAAATATCAACGCAGCTAACACACATACGACTGAAACACCCTTCGAACAACATCTGCAATCTGTGCGGGCACAGCTTCGTCGGTGAGAACGGACTGTACTGTCACAAGCAGATCGCGCACTCAGTAGAGGTAACTGTACTATCGAAGTGTAAACTTCTCTACGAGTAATGTCATTTGTAACTCGACTAAATGGAAATGACAAATAAAAAATGACACGTTTGGGGTTGTCCACATAACGGGCCTTGGGGAAAACCCCTCTATCGGGGCTGAAGATACCTACCACTCAGGACAGGAGTGAACCGATGCTGGGAGGACTGGAGAGTAGGTTTGTATGCATGTCCGGTCGCAATTTACATATATAGATACATAGATATAATACGATGGCTTGGTCTTATGACGCCCGAGGACGGAGCACCCCGGCGCCGACTGTTGTTCTCGTGCCGGGCCAATTCGTGGATCTAAACCATTCAGGGCGCCACCCAAATGCATACAAAAAAATTCATTCAAATCGGTCCAGCCACTTAGGAGTTCAGTGACATACAGAAGACATCTATATTATACTGTATGTCGGGGACTTCACGCCAGAAATAGGCGGGGTGGGTGGTACCTACCCGTGCGAGATCGAGAGATGCCTTACCACTAGTAATCATATTTAGAGATCTTCGCCAAGTACTTTCTGGTTTCTATTTTTATATTTTTTTATTGCCCTTGTAGGCAGACGAGCATATGGCCCACCTGATGGTGAGTGGTTACCGTCGCCCATGGACTTCAGCAATACCAGGAGCAGAGCCAAGCCGCTGCCTACCGGATTGTTTCCTTAGATGGGATTTCCTGAGGTCAGAGGAGAACACTTCGTGGACTGTGAAGGGTATTGGTAAAGCCGTGAAGAAGGTCCGAGAGGTCGCGTCAAACAACTCCCAACAACTGATTGTAGGTGGATAATGTGGTGTCATTCCAGGAGAGGGAACTGAGTCAGTCTGTGTCTGTGAACCCTTCGGACTCCATGTACTGCGCCGCCTGCGGGATACAGTTCCTCAACGAGGAAGCGTTCAACACGCATCTGGGCAGCTCCAATAAACACGCCACCGTCAATGAGTAACTACATTTATCGTCTAATAAGCTTTATCGTTACAACTTAAGATAGAAATTTGAGTGTCAATTTCATTGTTAATGAACAGTACATTTATCGTATAATAAGCTTTTTATCATTAGTGCTTAAGATAGAAATTTGAGTGTCAACTTAATTGATGATAAACGGATTGGTATGGCTCACTACCATCAGATTTATTTCTGCTGCAAGTCATTAATCTGTTTTGCCGTCTATTAATTGAGAATACTACCTTATGTCTCAAGATGGCGTGTTAAAATAAAAACAAAGCACCGTGGTGCACGTGAATGAAGTGAAACTTCTTTTTCGATGTGTAGTACTGTGATTTTCTTAATTTTTTATCCTTAAATCAGATTGCTCTTGTAATATGGAACGCTGTGTATTAAGAGATGCGACGTCTTGAACATTTATATTATATATATTTTAAATTATAGATAAACACACATTTTTTTAAATACTTCATTAAAATATTGGACGCTACTCGTTCCTAACGCTCGCGCTGGCCTGTAGCAGGTATACTACGCGCATGCGCTCGAGTGACACGCATTCACTCTCGCTCTGTCTCTTTCTTTCTATTCCAAGGCGGCGATAAACGTACGCAACCTTGTCGGAAGTCGCATTAGAAGTTTCACTTCAACAATTTTACAGATGATTAAACTGTAGTGATGTTGTGTTGCGGTATGTAGTGGATTTGTACTTCCAGGTCGATACTGATGAAGCGCAAGCCGGGCGCGGCGCGAGGCGGGGGGCGCGGGCGGCCGGCGCGCACGCACGCGCTCGCCTCGCACATCGTCAACAACGGGCTCACCACCTCCACCAACTGTGAAGTCGTACGTACCGGGACGCAGGATTCAACCCACCTTTATATCAAATAGACGCTGCACGAATGACATAAGACCGAAACTATAGATAATCCAAAGCCATTTTTTTTATATTGCTTAGATAGGTGGACGAGCTCACAGCCCACCTGGTGTTAAGTGGTTACTGGAGGCCATACACATCTACAATGTTGTGAGTCCGCACGGGAAGGTACCACCACCCCGCCTATTTCTGCCGTGAAGCAGTAATGCGTTTCGGTTTGAAGGGTGGGGTAGCCGTTGTAACTATACTGAGACCTTAAAACTTATATCTCAAGGTGGGTGGCGCATTTACGTTTTAGATGTCTATGGGCTCCAGTAACCACTTAACACCAGGTGAGCTCGTCCACCCATCTAAGCAATAGAAAAAAAAAGCTTATCTTGAAAATGTCGTAAGCGACATTCAGTCATCTGTCAAATATCTTGCGTAATTAAAACTACTTTCACGTTTCGATGTCTCGTTTCGAATACATTGGAGGGTCCGTGGTCACGCAACGGCGGGGCTAATGAAATAATAATAATAATAATAGCGAAAAATACGACAGTAAATCGAATAGTTTTTTAGGACGCTTAAATAAAAGCGGCTCTAAATAAAATAATAAAATGTTTATTTTATGTAAAAATGTACAATCTATTTTCTTAGGGCTGGGATCATGGCCTCCTGGATTTTTTAGCTGCGCATGCGCGTGACGGAACCAAAGATTTCGCCACACCTTCAATTATGAATACTAGTCATTAAAACCGAAGGGTTATAAGTGAGTCGACTATTATCAAAGCCGGCAATGTGATTTTTGGACAATTATTGGTAAATCAGAAAAACGAATTATTGACTTTGTATTCCATTGGCAGTCACAAAACTCTTCTGAACGACATCTTAGATAAATAACAGGTTAACTATTAACCTTTATTTAATGCAGGTTTTGAACCGTATTCTTTGAAGGAGACAATTATATTCAAATCAATCTGTATTGACATATCAATAAATTTTTTTTGTCCAATTGCACAGATTGCCACCTTTGATAATAGACGACTCAAGTAACGTAAATATGTTAATGACAAAACGTATCGTTTCAGTGCGGCAAGTTCCTGTCGAACGACGTGCAGGCGCGCAAGCATTACGAGACCGAGCACCCCGGCACCGAGTACCTCAAGCGGTACATGTGCGACGTGTGCGGACACACCACGCGGGTGAGTGGCGGGATGGGGGGGGGGGAACGAGAGGGGAGGGTTTAGAGGGGAAGAGAGAGGGGGAGGTGATAGAGAGTTTTTAGTTGTTAAATTTTAAAAGAATAATAAAAATAGCTAACCTGGAATAGAATTTGATATTTACAAAACTGAATTTGATAATAATATTGAACCATAATAATATTGTGCGTTTTTTTTCTACTGCTGGATAGCCTTGAGAGGCTATTTCAGCTTCACCCTAACGTGTGTAGGTGAGCTCACGATGCTCAAACCGGAGTGATGCTAACATTGGCCTTATCAAGGGCAGTGCCTCGCAGAATCTACCACCGGATCGGAAACGCGACCCACTGAGAAGATCCGGCGAGAAACTCAGTGGGCTGTGTCTGTGGGTTAATTCGCTCGTCGTGCCCTTCGTCTCAAGCGACGGGTTCGATGAGGACGGTGACTGGTGGTGTGGTATAGTGCACGCGGAAGCGCTAGTATCCTATATAGCTCTGAGGAGCTGTATAGCTCCTGAGGTATGTGAGCGGCAGGACGGGCGAGGTAGACAAATGTCAAGCTAACTCAGTCTGCCGTCGACCACCGCGGCGGTTACACGATTCCGTTGTTCTTGCCAGTTTGTTCCAAACATACACGATAAAATATCCTAAGATGGGTCCACCAATCATACCACCAGTGTAAAATGTAATAAAATAAAATAATTTAATAAATAAATATAATGCACCGTTAATGGATCGGGAGTTGTGCGGTAATGAATGTTGTGCGAATGTTCCAGCAATACGCTAACCTGATGGTCCACATGCGGACGCACACGAATGAGAAGCCGTACGAGTGTCCGCAGTGCGACCGGAGGTTCAGCATGCCCAGCAACCGAGACAGGCACATAGCGGTTAGTATCATTTTGTAACCTTATACTCAAGTATATAATGCTTATTTTAACAAAAGAGCCAAAAGGTCGCATTTAAAAAAAAATCTTAGGTGGGTGGACGAGCTCACAGCCCACCTGGTGTTAAAGTGGCTACTGCGATCTGTTCCTATCTGCAGCTGAGTGCAGAGCATCGTGCACTGTGGTATCAAGGGCTGCACGAATCTGGTCCGTCCAACGGGTCGGGTTCCTGCCTCTTGGTCGCTTGCCCTCGACCTTTCCAGTGACCACCAATTTCTCCAAGTTGTCAAATATTATATATGTACTTATACACACACGTCGTGTTCTCGGTCAGGTCCACACCGGCGAGAAGCGTTACCAGTGTCACCACTGCAACCGACGGTTCACGCAGAGCAACGCGGTGAAGCTTCACATCCAGACCGTTCACCTGAAGATCCCGTACGCGCCCTGGGACAAGAAGAACCGGAAGCGGCGCAAGGACGTGGAGCCTGCCCCCGCGCCCCCCGCGCTGCCCTGCCCCCCGCCGCAACACAAGGTGCTGCTGGAGGCGCAGGGAGACTACCTCAACGCCTACATCACGTACAACGATGTGTGATGTTATCTATCTATATATATATATGAAGTCGTCGTGGCCTAAAAGATAAGACATCCGGTGCATTCGTATCTAGCGATGCACCGGTGCTCGAATCCCGCAGGCGGGTACCAATTTTTCTAATGAAATACATACTCGACAAATGCTCACGATTGATTTCCACGTTGAAGGAGTAACATCGTGTAATAAAAATCAAACCCGCAAAATTATAATTTGCGTAATTCCTGGTGGTAGGACCTCTTGTGAGTCCGCGCGGGTAGGTACCACCACCCGCCTATTTCTGCCGTGAAGCAGTAATGCGTTTTGGTTTGAAGGGCGGGGCAGCCGTTGTAACTATACTTAAAACTGATACCTCAAGGTTGGTGGCGCATTTACGTCGTAGATGTCAATGGGCTCCAGTAACCGCTTAACACCAGGTGAGCTGTGAGCTCGTCCACCCATCTGAGCAAAAAAAAAATTGCTTTCCAACATCCGATCACAGACCCCAAAGGATAACTCGATGGCCCAATCTGAAGATCTGAAAATTTCATCTTAATCGGTGAAGCCGCTTCTATAGAGAACATACATACACAGGTCGACTTTTATATGTACTTATAGATAAATATATATCGACTGGTAAAATGATATTTGGTTTAAGCGATATTTCGCTTAATACGCGATTTTTATTTATTAGGCTTATTTTATTTGGTTTCAACGGTTTGGGGTTGGAACTTCAATGAAGTATACTCCATTCAAATAGCTATAGTAGAGTTATTTTGTCCGTGCAGTTTGGGTCATAAAAAATCGGAGCGGTGAAGCGAGTATTTCGCTCTCTCTTCCACTCACGAACCTTATGGACGGGCATAGTGTTGCGCATTATTGCTGTCGATAAGCGTTATCGATAGTGTATTTAGTTTTGTCGTTTTGTGGGTTAGTGATAAAAATGAAAGAAAAAACACTAATCGAACACTTATGCCACATATCGCCGCAGCAAGTTAACGAGAACGGCAGAAATTAACACTTCGTAACTTTTCGAGATCTATTCTTATTTCAGTGAAAAATTTTAACACATTGTTGATAACAACATGTGAAAATATTATTTTGAATAAATTTTGCCGGTTTGATACTAAACAAAGAAGTAGCCATTGTGTCACTAAAGAAATTCAGAGAACGAATGCATAAAAACACATTTCTCTTCGACATAATGTACTATAATTTGTAGGTAAGTACAAATGACTCATAACATAACAATGTCTCACCACCCTTCATATACCGCCCCGCCGCCGTGTAGCTGCCTTCGATGACTCATTTGTTTTTATCGATAATGGCGTTGCGCCCACGCAACATGCTCACCGCCCTAGCCGGGCTATGTTTTATGACCCAAACTGCACGAACAAAATAATTATACTATAGTTAGAAGTTAGAAGTTTTTTTATCATAATATTTTATCGAAATATTAAACTTTAAATGTATGTCCTGTAAAGTTGCAAATATGTCGCATAAATCAAATAACTTCTCACCCCTCAAATTATGTTTGTCGTCTATGCGTTTCTCAACTATTCGATTGTAAAGAAACTTGTATAGTTTTAGTTCGTGCTCAGAGTTTCCGTCATAGTACCAACAACGTGCGACAGGTGGCGCGATTAGTTTAAGGAAAAAGAAATTGTGTTATTCATACAATTTGCTGCATCTTATCGGTTGAGTGTGACCGATCTACTCTAGTGAACATAAAAGATTAGGCTGTATGGTATATGACACCTTCGCCTTTCCAGTTGGAAAAATAAAACTACTACTACTGTACTCTAGTGTGTTTTGTAAAATGCCGAATGTTTATTGAATTAAATTGCTCGAATATATTTTGTATAATTGTTTGAGTCAAAGATTATTTTTGAAAGGTCGCGTCAACGGCGCTTCGATTGAAGAGACAGTCGCTAGTGAATTGTGTACTAGTTTGAACCATTTCGAAACTAGACGCTTTTCATTGAGATATATGATCCGAAAGTCATGTTCGTAGTGAGGTCTGAAAGTTAACTGATGGTTAGCTGCGCATTTAATACACGATGCAACAGTAGCTCCCTCTCCGGTCAGTCCTAAGATGGGTGGACGAGCTCACGGCTCAACTAGTGTTAAGTGGTCATTGGAGCCACAGACATCGACAACGTATATGCTGCAACCCACTTTCAGACATGAGCTGTAAGTGTCCGTTTTTTACTACAACGGCTGCCTCACCCTTCAAACCAAAAGGCATTACTGCTTTACGGCGCTAATATAGCAGGCATAAAGCATTCTAAATGAAAATCAGTTTAATGTTCTCTTTTTTAAGAAATAAACTTTATTTGTGTTTTGATCTTTATAACAAAAAGCGAAGTATATATTAAGTAAAAACTCTCGCGCTTTGATCAGGGTGTAAAATGATTGTTCTTGAGACCAAGGAATAACGTGAACAATATTCATAACTCATATAAAATGAACAATATTCATGTAAATAATCTATGATTTAGTATTTTTTTATAAGTTCAGTAGTAGCAGGGCGTAGTGTGAGCCTGTCTAGCCCGTTTCTGCTGCAAAGCGTTGTCAGGACTGACCTTGACTCAAGGTCGATCGCGGCACTCACGTTGTGCCCCGGTAACCATTTGACATCGCAGCTTTGACTACTCATCCAGTATAATAACTAAAAAAAAATTGTAGGTAATTTTTTTTTTTCGCGTCTTTAGAAGAGTCATTGCAGTCGCTGTCTCTTTCAAACGACTTCAATAAAGTGAAATAAATCACTGAAGAAATCGAACGGGAATTTTGAATCATATTTACTATTTGTTTTTTTTTTTAAGGAATTTTATGACCTGGTAGCTAAGACCTTTAGGTCAAATTTACTATTTATATTAACTTCACTCTACAGATTATACACGATTGCGTTCCAGAGAAAATGAAAATATGTAAAACACGTTTTAAAAGTACTGACGTTGGTCTAGCTGAAAAGCCCCTTAAGCTATCAGCAAATAGACTGAGAAATATTGTCGTTGGTCGATCTGATTTTTTAAAACGATTACTAGTTGAGTAATTGGCTTTAAATATAGAAAATTTAAGTAAAGCAATACTAATGTGTATTCGTATGTAACGTTATGTACATAATGAAGTTTAGTCCTAAAATAGTTATAATCTTTATTTGATTGAAGTGTTTGTGTTATGTATATATTTTTAAATAAGCATTAGATATAAAAAAACAGATAATAAATTTAGAGATTCATACAAATCGCAATGTAGAAAAAGTGTAATCAACCAGCAAACGAACAGTAATAATAAAACAACCCGAAAAGTTATTGAAACATTATATTTGTTAAAAACGAATGGTTTTTAATTTAAATAACAACAATAAAACATACTAATGTAATTTTTTACCTCAGAAAATAAAGACACCATTCAATTGAAGCTGTGTATTTGTCTATGGTTATTTCGTACATTTGGCCCCGAATGACGTCACGCTTATTGAAATTATTTTCAGCTGAGTTCGGTTTAGTTTACCGCAATTTGAAATAATTCAGGTTAAGTGTTACACGTGTAGTAAAACATTATGATTAGGATGACTAAGTTATTACAAATTACAAAATTTTCATAATAAGTAGAGGAAGAACTTAATGTTACACCTGAGATTAATAGTTTTTTGAAACACAATAGTTCGAACTTCGGAATTGGTTTTTCATTCTTTAAGTGTTTTATATAATGGCATCGGATAGGTACTATTATATCATATTTTTAAATTATGGTAATTTAAAATAGAAGTGTATAAATAAATTTAAGATAATAATATAGTCCAATACCTACAAATCTTATGTAAATGTATGAATGTGTACTAAAGTTATCGATTAAAAGAAAACATGTAAATAGTTTATATATTATAATATGTATGTATATATTTATAATATTATCAAGAAAATTCTCGAGTGATAATTTTCATTACTGAATACCTACCGTGTAAATATTGACAGAACGTAAATTTATTCGGTATTTTTGGTTGTTCGAAATTATCATACAATCAAAGAAAACATAAATATGTATATATAAAAAAAGACAAAATTTATGACAATAACAATTTCATGTACACGTAATTATGTCTTATAACGAATTATTAAAACTATCCCAGTTTAAGGTGTATAATTTATAAAGTATAAAACGATGTCAGTCGATATAGCACCAATAAAATATATTTCATTGGTGCTATATCGACTGACAGCTTTTTGGAAAAATTCGTGGTTTTTTTTGAAGTGAAAACTTCTTTAGAATCGTTGTGATTTCAAACCGGATGCAACGGAAAAAACGACAGGTAAGAGACACAAATATAAAAATGTGTAGGATGAAGCCAGCAAAGAATGAGACAGAAATATACATACTATTTAATACAGCGCTATCTGTGAGATTTTTTAATACTAACGTGTGTATGAAAGCTCTTGTAGTGAATTTTAATTTAGAATTATACGTGAAATTAAAATATCAATTCACAGAGGGCGCTACCTTACAATTATTTACTAATGACAAAATTTTACATATACTTAAGACGTTTAGGATAATTGTATTTTAATTTTGGAAGGTTTCACTTCTACCACGTNGAGATTTTTTAATACTAACGTGTGTATGAAAGCTCTTGTAGTGAATTTTAATTTAGAATTATACGTGAAATTAAAATATCAATTCACAGAGGGCGCTACCTTACAATTATTTACTAATGACAAAATTTTACATATACTTAAGACGTTTAGGATAATTGTATTTTAATTTTGGAAGGTTTCACTTCTACCACGTGTGAATTGCACACATTTTGTATTTTTTTTTGTTGCTTCGCTGTCGTGGTTTCCCGGAGACGTCTCTGCCGCTTCGCCCGCATGCATGCCCCTCCAAGACCCACGAGTAGAGTAAATAGGGATGTGTGCGTTATGTCTTTTAAAATAGAATACTTCTACGGGCAATAGGTAAAATTATATAAATGTAAGTTTACACGAACAACCCTATTCTATAAAGCTTTAATTTTTCATGTGGGGAACCACACATACATGAATTTGAGCAGAATCGATTTTTATTTGAACGAAACATCCGGTCTCAATGAAAAGAAAATGCCAGATTTATATTGATAAATTAAGGCAAATAGATGCTTGTGATTGTAAGACTTGAGTCGTCTTGAAATCTGTTCGCGGTATTTACGACGTTTCGAAATTGGATACGTATATAAAATAATTTTAATTCAATATTCGGTAAAACTAGAACGTTAAAAGAAGAGATATTTCAATTTCAGTTTTAATGCTAACCATAACCACACACACACACACACCCAAAACATATACAGTCAAACCTGGATAAGCGAGAGTTCAAGGGAGCACAATCTTATTCTCGCTTATAGAGGTTTCTCACTAACCCGAGTTTCTCGCTAATGCTCCCTCTGAATTTCATTTCGCGATTTTCCGGATTCAAACGCATTCACTATTTTAAGTTTATCACTTAATGACAGTACTTTAATTTTCTGTTTTGACATGATGCAGAACAGAACGTTCCTTCGCAATTGATTGACGATAAACTGAGTAAGTCCGATAAACAGGACGGTACACAGGCACACGTGTCCATTCGAAAGAATGCGATAAAATAACAACGTTATTTAGTTCCACGAAATAGAATAGGTTCAATATTGACGAGAAAATAATACAAAAACAATGGAAGGAAGTTCCACAAAAGTTAAGAATGAGTCATAAAATAGCAGATGTTAAATTTGTAATTTGTTTTGTCATTTGTTTCTCCTAAATAATATAAATAGAGCTCGACTGTCGCTTATAGAGGTATAGATAAGTAGCAGTCTCACTTACGGAGGTCCATGAGAGAAAAACGACTCTCTCTTACAGAGGTTTCTGTTTCTCGCTAATAGAGGTTTTGGGAGCTTAAAATGACGGGTCCTGGCTATTACTCTCACTTATAGAGTTTTCTCACTTATCCAGTTCTCGCTTACCCAGGTTTGACTGTAATTATTTTAATTACTTATAGACTTTTACAAATGAGTAATTTACTTTACAATCTCAATTACGCATTTCGTTGAAATAAATGTTCCAAAATATTGGCCAATTAAAATATGTGTTTAATTATTTGTATTTATTATACTGATTGTCACATTGTGTTTTTTTATGTTAATCTCATAATAGGTCTTTCGATTCTTTGGTCGAATAGCTAGTTTTACTTTAATGGCGTTTATTTAATAAAATATTTTATTTTCAAACTATTCGTTTTTTGTTTTCATTTCAGGACAAAGAAAAAACATAAATGAACTTTGAAACTAATTTATTTCATACCACGTTTTCAGCACTAATTCTGAAGCATTAAATGCTTTACGAGCTAAATATACGCACAACATATTTATATTAAAAAGTATTACGAACAATAATTATTGTCTTCCAAATGTGCCGCCATTTTGTTTATCAACTAGGTAAAGAAACAAAAAATTTCTAACGCAACAAGCACTTATATATTTTAATACATCATTCTTCAAAACAATCTAATCACGAAAATGTTAACGTAATTTGAAAGGTTTGATTTACATAGATTATTTATCTATATATACTAAAATAAATCTTGGAATGAGAACCTTCGTTCTTACCAAAAGTGAAATTTATAACATTCATTGATTTAGCTTAAACAACCATTTTTCAGATCAATTTACGTCATCACAACCGAATAAACACATTTATTGAGCATAAGTTCAATTAAAAACTTCGAAAATCCGTATTATACCCTGGTGCCTATTGCTTAACAGATTTACTACAAGGTAATACAGTAGTGCAGAAAGTATTCTTACTAATGTTGTAAAAAAAGTTAAAGTTCAAAAGCCTTATCGCCAAAGAAAATCTATGCAGTTTTCGAAATATGTATGACATATACAAAAATTTTTGTTTGCTTATATAACATAATTATAATTTAACCTACATACAAAAAAAGAGGAAAAGTGAGAAAATTATTCAAAAATAAATTCAAATAAAAAGGAATGTTTGTAAAATGCGACTAAATGCTTCAAAAACAAATAAAATAATCTAAAATTACGGTATGTTACCATTTCATGATGTATTGTGAACCGAATAAGTTTATTAAGAAAGTTTATTTAAAGCTTTGTGTCAAATGTAATTTTTCTCAATCATATTTCCACATTACCTCGCTTTCCAACACATTACGCTCTAACTTGTTGCACCGATATTTGCTAAAATTATCTCTTCTCAAAATTAAATTGAATGTATACAAAAAGGAACATGTCCGCTTAATATTTGTTTTATATTTTTCAACATTATTATCCGTGAGTTAATGTCAAATCTAAAAACAATATGGCGAATGTGGGCGTTCAGCCTATTTCGCGAAATGTATTACATTTAATTGTAATTACTAAAATTCATTATCGCTCTTGACTTTTTGGGACAAAGTTTTTATGTAGACCACCCATTTCGTATTTCATGAGAATTCCACCAATTTTAGGGGTCTACATACGTAGTCACCTTGATTTGAATTTTTTGGGACACGTCAAAAGAGTTTAGCAATTGTCTGCTTGCTGAGTCACTACCCTTCTAAGGGGTTAGTTCTACTGAGCGGTTTTAATGGTTCATAAAGAGTGGTTGAAGATTACCGATATTTTAGGGTCTTTAAGTAATTAGCATAGCCCAGATTCGCTCAACTAGGGATAGGCAAGGATTCTGAGGACACAGATGTGCTTAGTGCGAGTTTTTTAAGGTTGTCGATAGCGTAAGAGTTAGACAAATTTTGTATGCAGTTGGAACAGCGCCCCTAGCGGCAAACGTAAGAAAACGATTCTATTCCATACAAATATGAGCTAACTTTTACGCTATCGAGAACGTTAAAAAACTCTCACTAAGCACATGAGTTTTTAGAATTGATTCGCGGTGCTATTTTCGCTGACAACCCTAAACTGCTGATAAACGAATTGGTTGCTTGTTTATCGCAAAAATGATTGTCAGAGATAATAGTAAATGGTCGCGCAATCTGACAACAAGACGGCGAAATGGGATGCGTGGGGCGGTGCCAAACCCGAACGTATTAATAAAGTTAGCCAGTGATACATATGAAACTAAAAGCATTCTGATTGTGCTTAAACCAGATTGCTGAGTTTCACCGATTGTAAACTACAACTGAGCTTGGTTCTCTTTTGCTCGAATCGTCCCCACCTTATTCATAGGTGCTTATACTCGGATTATTACAGAACTATTTCAAATCTATCTTTATCAAAACTAGCTATCAGTAGAGATTTCTGGACTTTTATCCAAGCGAATGTTACTCCGCAGTGTTTGTTCTTGGAAAATGTGGCTCCAAGTCGACATCCGCGTACAGTATATGGTAGCAAATATTCATAGTAATAGCAGTGAGAGGGTTTACGTTTTTAGGACAAACGAAGGCAAGTATACGGTCCGTACCACATTGATTGCTCAACATCGCTCAAGGTCATCGACAAATGTCACTAAAACTACTTCCCGTAAGTACAAGACCTCTAGATTTATACAGTTTCAGCGGATCACAACCAATCACCAGATGAATGCTCTTCGCTACAAAATTGATCTAGTCGTCTTTTTAATCGAGACAAACTTATTCGGTACATTATGAAATGACGTCAGTTATTTTAAGCCCCATTAACGGTTAGAGTCCCTTATTGTAATACAACTCCTTGACTTGAGGGTGTTTCTTCTTTACGATTTCCTGAAAAACGTAATACAACCAATAAATATGGCACTGTTATTTATGGCACTGGTATTTTTTGTTATTGCTTAGATGGGTGGACGAGCTCACAGCCCACCTGGTGTTAAGTGGTTACTGGAGCCCATAGACATCTACAACGTAAATGCGCCACCCACCTTGAGATATAAGTTCTAAGATTTCAGTATAGTTACAACGGCTGCCCCGCCCTTCAAACCGAAACGCGTTACTGCTTCACGGCAGAAATAGGCAGGGTGGTGGTAACTACCCGCGCGGACTCACCACCTACCACCAGTGATTACGCAAATTACAATTTTGCGGGTTCGATTTTTATTACACGATGTTATTCCTTTACAGTGGAAATCAATCGTGAACATTTGTTAAGTACGTATTTCATTAGAAAAATTGGTACCCGCCTGAGATTCGAACACCGGCGCATCGCTTAACACGAATGCACCGGACGTCTTATCCTTTAGGCCACGATGACTTCGATAATAAATACATAAAATATGAAATCTTCTTGCAAAGGTACATAACACGTTAGTGAAGTTTCCACAGACCTTCAGATCGGCTTCGAGACTGTCGACGGCTATGGCGGCGGTCTGACTGAAGAGGGCGCAGCAGAGCGGCGTCGCGAACGTGACGCACAGCCCCACCAGCGACAGCTGGAACGGCACCACCAGCAGCGGCCAGCGGCAGAACATGCCGCGACGCGTGGCGTAGTTCGTGATCATTGGCGTCAAGGCTGGAGATTTGAAAGTGCAACTTGGTCTAAGAATTAAATGCCAGACGAATAGTGTATTGACAGTTCTGAGTCACGTCTTTTTGCTAAAGTTGGGTCGACTCCTACGACCTTGAGACATGAGGTCTCAAGGTCGTAGGTCTCACTCTAAGAGTATGTCTTAGATTGTGTAACGGCTGTTCCATAACTGTTTCGCGACAGAAGTAGGCGGAGCGGTAATTATCCGCACAGTGCTAGTAACAGTGAGGTGAGTTTAATTGCAGGAGTCTAGTCCACCCACAGCGCGTTTACCCAATTCTCTTTCGCCTATTACCTAACTGTCCAACATCAAACTTGATTCGAAGCTCTTTAAAAAAAAACCGGTAAGCAGCGTCGTGCTCATCTGCCTACAAGGGCAATAAAAAAAGTCTTAGACGTTAAAAAGTCTTAATAGAGGCTGTGATGTTTGTACTCACTCATTCCCGGTACGGCCATGAGTACCCTAGAGATGCAGACTAAAGCGATGCCGCTCCGCGCGGCGGTCTTAGACTCGCCGACGCGTTCTCCGTCCGCCGTGAACACCGGCGTGCCGTTCGCTATCTCACTGAAAGCATCAGCGGATGTAGCGGTAGCTTCGAGTGCTCGACAACACAGTGTACTTAGTGCGAGTTTTTAACGTGACAACGTCTTATAATTCGATGGAGCCGGCTGCACGCACGAATAAACAAGACTCATGCGGCGTTACCTCGCTCTGAGGCGTTCCATTTAAGGCTTGAAGTGCAAGCGAGAGCGCGCAACGAGCGACAAAGAGGCACTATCGGGCTCCGCGTTCGGCAGCGTTCGACATCTGTCTCTCTCCTACTTGAGTGAGCGATACATCCGCGTGGACAGCTGCTATACAATAATACATTTACACGTTTTCGTCAAGTATGAAGTTTAGTGAAAAGTGAATGTGGTGTCAATTGTCCATACAAAATTTTCTATCAAACAAATAAAATCAAAATTTTCTTTTGAAAAATGAAACCATTCCATCAGTATTATTTTATTACGTTGTCACGTTCAACTATCGTCAGTAAATCGACTTTACAGACAACCGATTTTTTAACGTTCTCGAAAGCGTAAAAGTTAGCTCATATTTGTATGGAATGGGATCGTTTGCGTACATTTGCCGCTAGGGGCGCTGTTCCAACTGCATAAAAAACTCGCACTAAGCACACAGATATACGGAAAGCTATCTTACTTAAAACATGTCGATACCGTGATTCAAGTTTTTCGGATTTCCTTTAAGACGGCTACCGTTACAAATGAACATTCGAAATTTGAATTTGTTGCGAATTAAACAATATTATATTCTTAAATTTGAATTATAATATTCTGACAAGTGAAAAATTAACACAAAAAAAATATGTATTGGTCTAATCTCATCTACTGTACTGCATTGTCCAAATTCGATTTCCAAGATATTAAGGAGGGTAGATATAAAGAACAGACTTCTCGTGTATGAAAAAAGAGTCCATTGAAGAAATGATCAGTTAGGGTGGCGCCACCGTAGCAAGTGGTGTTATACATTAAGGTTTGTCTAAATTTGTCTGACAAACTAACTTGAAGAAATATTAATTCGTGTACGTACTTGCTCCTCATCATGGGAATATTGATGAAATTAGCTCCGCAGACGGCCGCGAATGGAACCAAACGGGCGTAGATTGGTTTCATGTTCTGTGAACGTATGAAGATTAATGAAAAAATATTACAACAAACCAATGATCGTTAGAGCTGCAACGAAAGGTGCGTATACGGTAAAAAAATTATTAAGTCATTCAATAGTCACAGTTTTCTGGCGGTAGTGAATACGGTGAGCTCGCTTGGGTAGGTGCGACCACTCTACTGGTTTATTAGGCAGCGGCTTGGCTCTGCTCCTGGCATTGCTGAAGTCCATGGGCGACGGTAACCACTTACCATCAGGTGGACCGTACGCTCGTCTGCCTACAAAGGCAATAAAAAAAAATTACGTCTCTGAAATGATGCGTTCTGATTCGAACAATGAGGCAACTATATCTACATCTAAAGTCTATGGTCTTCGTGGACCTTATTTTATGCACTGTTGTCGAAATTCCTTTTTTACCTCAATTGTCATTGATGATAAGTTTCAATCTAGTTTCTAATGGTCTGTGTCGGAACAGAGGTAACGTTTGTCAAGTGTATTACTGGCACAAAAGATCACAGGGATGTTGCATTGTTCCTAAGGACTTCGATGTGACCCAAATTAAGTATAAAATATTGTCTAATTTTTCAGTCATTATGTTAGGTGTAATCTAACCTTTCATTCGTATCAACATGTTTTTAAAAGTACAAGGTACTCTGTGTTTGTTCAACAAGGTTTCCAACATAAAAAAAACAACGCGCACTTTAAGATAAGATGTGTGATAAAATTAACAAGAATCTGCATAAAATGTGATGTAAAATGTGAATTGCCCCAGATACGTGAACATTGTTTGTGGATTTTATGAATGTTCATCCACACAATGAGTAAAATTTGCAATTTGAATTTGAGCAATTTGAATGTGATTTTCAATTTGTTTAAGCTTAAAACTTTATCTGATACTTCTTTAGAATTTTTTTCGTACAAATCGATTGATAAACAAGATTGTATTGATGGATGTATTGCTAGCCAAGATAAGGTAACCGCCGCGAAGAAACCACACCTTCGTGTCTCAAGGGTTGGACAGCCGTTTAACTATATAATTAAGACTTAGACCTCATGTTTCAAATTAGCGGCATTCAAATTCTGATATCTATAGCTTCCAGTATCCAACACAAGGTGATGGTACCCAATTCACGTCATCTCGGATCCTCCCGATCCACTAACGGTGCTTTTAGGTACTTCAAGCACCGGTCACCGTTCTCGTCGAACCCGTCGCTTGCGACGAAGGGCTCGACGAGTAAATTAACTCTCAGACACAGCCCACTGAGTTTCTCGCCGGATCTTCTCAGTGGGTCGCGTTTCCGATCCGGTAGTAGATTCTGCGAAGCACGNCTCCCGATCCACTAACGGTGCTTTTAGGTACTTCAAGCACCGGTCACCGTTCTCGTCGAACCCGTCGCTTGCGACGAAGGGCTCGACGAGTAAATTAACTCTCAGACACAGCCCACTGAGTTTCTCGCCGGATCTTCTCAGTGGGTCGCGTTTCCGATCCGGTAGTAGATTCTGCGAAGCACGGCTCTTGCTAGGGTTCGTGTTAGCATCGTCATCAGGTTTGAGCCCCGTGAGCTCACCTACTAGCCACGGTTACGCTGAAACAGCCTCTAAAGGCTATCAGCTTAGGTAGGAAAAAAAAAAAGGTACCCAATAAAGTTGTTATTTGCGGAAAAAAACCGTTGTAGTTGTCACAATCAATCATTCTCGAATCCCTGAATAATTAGTAAGTAAATAGAGGTGTTCTATTTTCATTGAACAAACATAGCGCGTAATTTCCTCCGCGCTTGCCTGGGGGCAGTGGCTCTGACGTCACCAGAGATAATCTTTCATTCTCGTATATTTGCGATGTCATTACGAGCCGGGTGATAAGTGAGCATTCATGGTTCATTGTTGATGACAAACAAACGCTCATGAACACGATCTCATTATGGTTATTTGTAAGTCACACCCTGATTTTACTTTGTCAGGATTGCATTTAGTCAATGTGGTTGTTGAAAGCAATATGGCATTTTGCAATGCGTAGGTATGTGGAAATTTAACACAAGGAGGCTTGATGTCCATATGTAGCATGATGATTGGATATGCTGTGTCGACCCCACATAATGAAGTCGTCGTGGCCTAAAGGTTAAGACGTCCGGTGCATTCGTATCTAGCGATGCACGGGTGTTCGAATCCCGCAGGCGGGTACCAATTTTTGTAATGAAATACGTATTTAACAATTGTTCACGATTTACTTCCACGGTGAAGGAATAACATCGTGTACCTAGTAAAATCAAAGCCGCAAATTATAATTTGCGTAATTACTGGTGCCAGGACGTCTTGTGAGTCCGTACGGATAGGTACCACCACCCTATTTCTGCCGTGAAGCAGTTATTCGTTTCGGTTTGAAGGGCGGGGCAGCCGTTGTACTGTAAAAACTGAGACCTAATAACTCATATCTCAAGATAGATGGCGGCACTCACGTTGTAGATGTCTATGGGCTCCGGTAACCACTTAACATCAGGTGCGCCGTGAGCTCGTTTACATACCTAAGCAATAAAAAATGTGAGTTAAGTAAAAGCATTGAAGATTGTTTTTTAAGTAACTTGCAATATTAAAACTACTTTTAACTGTAAGACACTCATACACGACCGACCGATCGATGACAAGAAATGGTGAAATATTGTTAGTTACGGTGCGTGCAATGGAAAAAGCCTTTATTTAAATTCAACTTTAGGGTTGTTATATTTTAAGTCATTATTGCATTAAAACTTTGTCTACGTTTTACGGAACATACTTCGTTTTTATTATAATTAATTTAAAAAAAAAACCGATAGAGCAATTTAAATTTAAATTACTAATTGGAAAAGTTAATTCTTTCAGGAGTTTACAACAACAGGCCACAGATAATTAAATAATCGTTCTCAAAAACATTCCACACAGAAAAAATATTAGGAAATTCATTCTAGCAAACAATTCGACACACCTTCCTTACGTGAGATATTTACTCGAGAATTCACAAATTCACGAAAAATGTGACTGATAACGTTGATAACGACATACCTATTGTCACGATTACGTTACAACAATATTATCGCTTTCTTGTGTGTGCGTCTTGATCATTCAAACATTGATAAAAAAAGATTCTTTTTGTTTTAATTTACGGATTTTTTGTTGTCCTTTATTCAGTAAACTAGGTTAATGCTTTTATTTTTTTTTATTTTTTTATTGCTCGGATGGGTGGACTAGCTCACAGCCCACCTGGTGTTAAGTGGCTACTGGAGCCCATGGACATCTACAACGTAAATGCGCCACCCACCTTGAGATATAAGTTCTAAGATCTCAGTATAGTTACAACGGCTGCCCGCCCTTCAAACCGAAACGTATTACTGCTTCACGGCAGAAATACGCAGGGCAGTGGTACCTACCCGCACGGACTCACAAGAGGTCCTACCACCAGTACAAGAGGTCCTACCACCAGTTAATTTAACGGAATTTGACGGAAAAACAGAGTAATTTGACGGAAATTGTGCTTAAAGCACTGTTTTTTTTTCTCCTACCTAAGCTGATAGCCTTGAGAGGCTATATCAGCGTAACCTTAACTAGTAGGTGAGCTCACGGGGCTCAAGCCGGAGTGCTGCTAACACTGACCCTAGCAAGAGCCGTGCTTCGCAGAATCTACCACCGGATCGGAAACGCGACCCACTGAGACGATTGGGCGAGAAACTCAGTGGGCTGTCTGTGGGTTAAAAGCACTGTTCAGATCCAGATATAGGTAGTAAAGGGTTCTTATTACATTTTTTTTGTTGCCCTTGTAGGCAGACGAGCATACGGCCCACCTGATGGTGAGTAGTTACCGTCGCCCATGGACTTCAGCAATGCCAGGAGCAGAGCCAAGCCGCTGCCTACCGTACATTAAATGATTTGAAAATGCTGCAATTTTAATGGAGGAATTTTCTCAGTTGAAGCCTTCAGATCCATGCTTTTAGGTGCTTCAAACAACGGTCACTGTCCTCGTCGAGCTCATTGACTATGATGAAGAGTTCGACGTTTGAACTAAAGTCTTAAATTTGCATTAAGTACGTGCGCGACAAATAGATGAATAACTCGATAACTCAATATCACGCCGACCGATTTCGATGATTATTGTTTTTAGTGCATATTAATTTGTTTTGGAATATCTTTCTTTTTCTATTTGAAGTCAGTTTTTGTTAAAGCATACCTATTTACAATAATTATATAAGTTACATACATACCTTAACTTTGCTATTAAGATACAAAGCTGTACCGAGAGCGCCTCCGCAGGCAGCGCAATATGAAGCCAATAGACGTCTAAAAACAACAAACTATGATTTGTCGTTGGAATCGAGAGTCTGGTGCTTGGAAATTCTGATCCTTGGACTTGAGAAGTGAGCTCAAATCAATAATTATTTCGCCCTCTAAACTAGACCCGCACGTTTGCCCTACCACCAGTAAATACACAAGGAAATTCGCGGATTTGATTCTTACGACCCGGTGTTATCTAAGCATAACAAACCATCATTTGTCGTTGGAATCGAGAGTCTGGTGCTTGGAAATTGCCTGATCTTTGGACTTGAGAAGTGAGCTCAAATCAATAATTATTCCGCCCTCTAAACTAGACCCGCACGATTGCCCTACCACCAGTAAATACACAAGGAAATTCGCAGATTTGATTCTAACGACCCGGTGTTATCTAAGCATAACAAACCATCATTTGTCGTTGGAATCAAGAGTCTGGTGCTTGGAAATTGCCTGGTCCTTGGACTTGAGAAGTGAGCTCAAATTAATAATTGTTCCGCCCTTTAAACTAGACCCGCACTATTGCCCTACCACCAGTAAATACACAAGAAAATTCGCGGATTTGATTCTTACGACCCGGTGTTATTTAGACCCAAGTTTAGTACGTATTTATTTGAGCAACGGTATAGGCATTAGTCTACTTTAGTGTTAGGCTAAGAACGCATTGTAATCTTTGCGTAATAAGACCATTAATTAAACATTAGCTTGATAAAGTTCGCACGTAGACTATTCGAAAGGTCCCAAACGTACCAAGTAAGGTCCCAAGTAAACGTACCGAGTTTTACTGGTGGTAGGTACGACCTCTTACGAGTCCGCACGGGTAGGTAGCACCACCCTGCCTATTTCTGCCGTGAAGCAGTAATGCGTTTCGGTTTGAACGGTGGGGCAGCCGTTGTAACTATACTGAGACCTTAGAACTTATATCTCAAGGTGTGTGGCGCATTTACGTTGTAGATATCTATGGGTTCCAGTAACCCCTTAACAATATATGGGCTGTGAGCTCGTCCACACATCAAAGCAATAAATAAATAAAAAACATGGATGTCAATGTAGGGATTCATCAGAGAAGAAGTGTCAGTATTCTCTAAGTATTATACCACAATATTGAGAACATCAACCGGCATTTACTGGTAGTAGGGCGTATTGTAGACCACTATTGTACTACCACCCTGCCCAATCTATGAGTTTGAATTATCGGCGAGCTTTTAATAATACAATTTTCGACTTTGACCCCATATCTAAAGGCAATAAAGGCCCTAAAGCCGGCATTCGCATAGAAAATAATAAAGGATCATTTGCATTTTAGCTCTGAACCCAACTAATGTTCTACTTAATATCATTTTCTAAAATTCAACAGATGACAAAATCACAAACAATCTGCACTATGGCCCAAGGTTGGAACCAATGATTGATATTAATTTAGTTCATCAATTGCTGTTTGCTATTTTCAAGGAATAAATACTTACTTGATTTATGTACGTGAGCAGAAAATGTTTGTTTACGAACAAGCCAGTAGTTTTTATCATTCGACTTATCATTTTATTTTGGGACATTGTTTAATTGGCATTTTTTTTAAACATTACATTTTTTTTGTTGGTAATGTAGGCTGTAGTATTATTTTATTGTGGAGCCAGAGTTTGATTCGAAATTTATAGCTTTATCATGTTATCAGTATTTTCTTTCAAAATATCGATTTTCGCATACCTACCATAAATGTTCCTCGTACCTAAATAGCGTGTCACCATCAAACGTATTATTATAAAACCAGTTTCATATAACAAAATACCGGAGGGTAGTAGTCAATTTACAAACAAAAAAAACTACTATACTAGCGACCCACCCTCGCTTCGCTTTGGAAACTGTAATATTGATTTCTCCACTATTTAATGGATGTTATTATACATATAAACCTTCCTCTTCAATCACTATCTATTAAAAAAAACCGGATCAAAATCCGTTGCGTAGTTTTAAAGATTTACGCATACATAGGGACAGACAGATATAGGGACAGTGAAAGTGACTTTGTTTTATACTATATAGTGATTTAGCGTGTAAGGAATTAACTCACGATGTACTTATAGGTGCATCTCCTGATCGATTCGTGTAGTTCACGACAGCGTTGAAGGTCTGATTCACCCATTGCCAGAAAACCGTGGCCGGCGTTGTCTTGTAGAATGTTATCATACCTAAAAACCATTTAAAATTGACATTACATTTAATCGTTTTATATATTGTAAATGAAACAAATTCTTAGATTTGTTTACTAGATAAGTTTTTATCATGAAGTTCAAGGTAAAGCGGTCGTAATCGTACGTTAGACGCGTGATATATTTTAATGTTACATATTGGTAAACGTTTCTTCGTCGCATTTCGGATCCTCCCGATTCACTAACGGTGCTTTTAGGTACCTCAAGCACCGGTCATCGTTCTCGTCGAGCCCGTTGTTTGCGACGAAGGACTCGGCGAGTAAATAAACTCACAGACACAGTTGAGTTTCTCGCCAGATCTTCTCAGTGGGTCACGTTTCTGATCGTAGATTCTGCGAAGCACTGCTCTTGCTAGGGTTAGTGTTAGCAACGTCGTCAGGTTTGAGCCCCGCGGGCTCACCTACTTGTTCAGGTTACACTGAAATGGCCTTGTGTTAGGTAGGACAAAAATAAAAAAAAGTTTCTTCATATCTCCCAATCTACAGTAGGAAAACATGTGTCCTATATATTTGTTAACGATTACCTTCGCTAATGGACAGCAACAATGCCATAAGCAGATCCGAGGTGCTACTCACCACTGAGCATTAATATCCACAATCTACAGCAGCAAAACAACTTTGGCTTATATTTCCGATTTCTATAGTTATATACACCTACATCAAATAGTCGGAACTTTGCTTTGAGCGTCACTAGATACACTTACATCCCGTAATGATAGTGTTCATGGGAGCCTGTGCCGCCATGCGTCCGAGCACGAACATTTTCTCTCCCGTGTCTGGATGGAAGGCGCTGTCGTACAAATATTTAGTACTCCATAGCTTCTCTTCATCGTATCCGGGCGGCATACGACGTGTTTTTCTGAGACGAAAAAGTATTACCCGTTAGGAATGGGTCACAGAGATTGCGATATATCTATTGCGTTTACTGGTAAACATGCTCACGGTTGAAACATGAGGTCGTAGTTTCAATTGTATTTTGAACTATTTTAATACGGTAAAATAGGGTTGAATATTGTATAAACTATTTTATAATTATAGATGTATATATGTACGTATATGTATGTATATATTAGGGAGAGTCAAAAAAAAATTTCAGCAAAGAGGAGAGGAACCAAGCTCAAATGTTTCGTTTAGATGCCAAAATAGGCCTCTGAAAATAGGAGCTCTTAATATTAATATTAAGAATGTCCGCATCGCACTTTTGGATTTCCCATAAGAATAACACAGAAAAAATGTTTTTTTTGTTTTGATTTTTGTAACTAATGAATCATTAAGTAATTGCTCTGCAATTTGATTGAATGAATGATTTATTTATTTCAAACAACAACAACAAGTTATGTGTACATAGCAACATTGAAACATAGTTAAAATTACCAAAACAAATAAAATAAAGAATTATTAACAGTTGAAAACATTTAAATATTCCATTCCAATGATACGTAATTTGAATCAACCGTTATTGTTATTATTTTTATTTAGTCCGCAAGTGAACCATGGTGCAATGGTTCAAGTACCGACAGTCATAACGGTCTGCCTGCAGGATGCTGTAAGGGCTGACCCGGACCTGGCGAATCAGGGATGTGCACCTTTTTTGCATGGTCGTATAGAAACAATCGACTCGTGCAACGGCGAACATCCCTAAACCATCCCCAAGCCCCAAGCCCCAACAACGCCCTAAACACATTATTGTGTTGGACGCGTAAGACGCTGTACTGCTTTTGAGTATAGAAAACACACAGGCATCTCGTATAGAAGGACGTACAAAACGCTCTAAATAGAGTAATTTTTAACAACATCTTATCATTTTAAAAAATACAACCAAAAGTTTTGTTGACGATTAATGTTGGATTTTTTGACGTTGCAACGTCTTATAATTCGATGGAGTCGGCTGCACGCACGAAAAAACATGACTCATTGAGGCGTTCCATTTAAGGCTTGAAGTGTAAGCGAGAGCTCGCAACGAGCGACAAAGAGGCACTATCAGCCTCCGCGTTCGGCAGCGTTCGACATCTGTCTCTCCTACTTGAGTGAGCGATGCATCCGCGTGGACAGTTGCTATACAATAATACATTTACATGTTTTCGTCAAGTATGAAGTTCAGTGAAAAGTTAATGTGGTGTCAATTGTCCATACAAAATATCTATCAAACAAATAAAATTAAAATTTTCTTTTGAAAAATGAAACCATTCCATCAGTATTTTCTTATGACGTTGTCACGTTCAACTATCGTCAGTAAACCGACTATACAGACAACCGATTTTTTTACCTGAATTCAGCAACGATCCTCTGTGCCTCGTCGAGTTCCGCATCCGAAGCCAACACGTTGAGAGGATTGGTCAGTTGCAGGAAGTGCTTGGCTCTACCCGAATACGTGCTCTGATCGTATCGAGGTTTGTCCAGATCTATTTGTGGGCTGCCCATGGCTCTTTGGTACCTTACAAAATGTATGATGTTAATACACATACGGTCTTGAATAGTTTAATATAACAAATTTTAAATATGCATCCGTAAATAGGTATTTAAACGACCAGTCTTATTGTATTTATTTTTGAAGTGAAACTTCTAATGCGACTTCCAACAAGGTTGCGTTAAATGTTTAACGCTATCATGGATTAGAAAAAGACAGAGCGAGAGTGAATGCGTGTCACTCGAGCGTATGCGCGTAGTGTACGTGTTACAAGCCAGCGCGAGCGTTAGCAACGAGTAGCGTCCAATATTTTAAAGAAGTATTTTAAAAAAGAAACTATCTATAACTTAACATATATATATAGTATAAATGTTGAAGATGTCGCATCTCTTATACACAGCATTCCCTATTACAAGAGCAATCTGATTTAAGGATGAAAAATGAAGTAAACCACAATACTACACATCGAAAAAGAAGTTTCACTTCATTCACGTGCACCAAGTTGAACGCGCAACCCTTTTTTAACAGTATTTAACTATTGCAATTGATTCGGTGGTGCAGTAGTTGTGTCCCGTGACTGTTATGTCGAGGGTCGTACTTTCGATTCACACATGAGGAAAACATTCGCGTGATGAATACTTTTGTATGCTCTTTGTCTGCATGTTTGATATTTATATTTAAACATATATATATGGCTGGGGCTAGAGCCGCTTATCCCTGGTTAAATAGATCTTTTTAAAACAATACCTAACGCTGCGTCTACGCTTCTACGCTTCTAACTGAAGTCTTCGTGGCCTAAAGGATAAGACGTCCGTTGCATTCGTATCTAGCGATGCACCGGTGTTCGAATCCCGCTGGCAAGTACCAATTTTTCTAAGGAAATACGTACTTAACAAATGTTCACAATTGACTATTTCCCCCGTGAAGCAGTACTTAATGTGTTTCGGTTTGAAGGGTGGGGCAGCCGTTGTAACTATACTGAAATCTTAGAACTTATATCTCAAGGTGGGTGGCGCATTTGCGTTGTAGATGTCTATGGGCTTCAGTAACCACTTAACACCAGGTGGGCTGTGGGCTGACTCGTCCACCCATCTAAGCCATAAAAAAAATCAACTCTAATGGATCAATGACTGCCCACGGCTAGCAGTGAAAGCATTATGTCTGACGAATTGAAACTCATCTGAAAGATTGCGGTTCATTTTATTACTGCCATTATCAATTCATTCAAAAATGTCGATAGCGAGACTCAGAAAGCTACATTTTTAAGCCTAGTCTTAGACGACGGGTTATTACAAAGACGAGGTTTCTTCACATTATCATGTGTTTATTTCGCTTGTTTGCAAAAGATATTTTAATGTTAAATTCAACATGATTCCGACAGGGCTTATCGTTGATTCGTTCTCAAGCGTTTCCAAGGTTTTTTTTTTGAGTAATTTATGATAACCGACTATGATTAATTGACCGCTTCCTTAGCTATGATTGACAGTATTATTTCACACAAATATTGTTGTAGAGATCTGGAATCGATTGATAGTTTAAGGGCTTTAAGTAAAAGAATCTCGCTACGTTGCTACCTGATTGTCACGATAACTGTATCTGTTTTTGAAAATAAAATGTCTAATTTACCTCTGCCTAAGTTTGGAATGTGGTTTTTAATGATGCTGTGTGACTAATGATCTTTCTAGCTAGCATTAAGATATGTTCCATTTTACATCATTTACAGATTTATTTGTTACCAGCCGTTTACCAGCCGTTACCCGCGATTTCGCCCGCATAATCAAGGAAAAATGTTTGAGAAGTTTTAAATGGGAATGATATATTTTTTTTGGGTACAAAAGTTTGCATATATGCCATTGTTTCGATTTGACGTAAAAGAAGGACAAACAAACACTTTCAGATTTATAATATTTAGAAATTATAATGTATGAATTACATATGGAGTAATAGAAGTATGAATTTATTCCTTATGGCAAGGCGCATTATAAGCTCGCCCGTAGCTAACCTGTCCTGCCTATTTCTATCACAAAGCAGTTATCGGTTTGAAGTTTCAAGAGAGCCGTTGCACCAACGCACTTAGATCTTGAAGACGGCACAAACTGTTGCAGTTACTTATAGCTTGCACGTCTATCTAACGTCCAATGCTGTGATTGTTAACCAGAGATTCGAAAGTCAGAATATAATTGAAAAATTTCCGGAGGTTAAATTAGTAAATAAGATGTAATAAAATAATACCTCAGACGGTGGATGAAAGTAACTTACAATTTCAATACTTAGTAATTCCATCATAAAAGTCATCTAACATGGAACCGAGATAAAGCTATACCTAAATAGTACAATTTATCAAATAAAATTTGTCCTTCAACTCGTACTGAACAGATTTAAGTCCGCAAATACGATAAATTAACAATAATCGAATTATGATAATAGTGGTCGTTATCAATGTCAATGACATACAACTCATTATGTTATACGTCATTGAGATGTAGAACAGAAATAAGAGTTTTATTCGTTGGAGCTGTAGACCACGGGCATCACAGCGCGAATGCGACATGACGACAATAAGTAATTGAGTTGGAGAGCGGAATCGGAAAATTCGGTGCCTAATTAAAATAACTTTTACGAAAATCACAAAAACACCTCGTCCGTGACCACGAAATTTGTAAAGTATACATAAAGTCGGAAATAATATTATGACAATAACATGTGTTTTAATTTCGCTTACGACTCGATGAAAATCGGAGAAAATCTATCTATATATATAAAAATGAATTGCTGTTCGTTAGTCTCGCTAAAACTCGAGAACGGCTGCACCGATTTGGCCTTGGAATTTTGGTCTTGAATTATTTGTGGAAATCCAGAGAAGGTTTAAAAGGTAGATAAATATGAAAATGCTCGGAATTAAATAAAAATAACAATTTTGTTTTTCCTTTGATGTGTCCCCCGTCGGACGGATTCCTTTTGTTTGTTTTAAGTTTATTTTATACAAAAGCTTAGGTCTTTTATTTATCGGTTGAGGCACTACGAAGTGTACCGGGTCAACTAGTACTAAATACGATTCTTTTTTTTTTATTGCCCTTGTAGACAGACGAGCATACGGCCCACCTGATGGTGAGTGGTTACTGTCGCCCATGGACTTCAGCAATGCCAGAGGCAGAGCCAAGCCGCTGCCTACCGCTGAACACGATACTACTCATACGGTACGGTACGGTCGTAAAAGCAGTACGTATTATATACATATACTTATCAGTAGCTTTTAATCTAAGGTTTTTGAATGTTTACGTACATATTAAGGGATTAGAATTTGAATTAAATCCAATTTAGCCTTAAATGACGACTGGAATCTCGTTCGTAAGTTCGTGTATTATAAAGTAATCTTCACAATTATGTTACGTTCAAATGTATACGTGCTGTATTTAAGAATATAAACGGTTACGATATCCAGTAAAGACACGTATCAAAATTCTGAATATTCTAATTAATTATGTTAATAAATGCCACGTTTGAATACAATGCGTATTTGTGATTGATTATGATTAATTTATTTCAAGTAATGATATTGTTCATATTGCCAGTAACTCGCGTTTCAATTTGAAGAATGAGACAGACGGTCGTTTTGTCATAAAACTTAGACTTCGATGTCATTTCCCCGCAACGGGTGGAACCATTAATGTTGAAACGACTTCGTGGTTGTGTGAATGTCTATTTAATAACAGATCGAGCCGTGAGGTCTTTCAATGGTAACAAACAAAAAAACAAATGAATATTAGTTTTTCACACGGTTGTATTTTGGACAGTCCTATTTGAGTGGTCACCATTCTAGTAAATAATCAAAGCCGGTTCGCTTTGCCGGCCGATTGTTGATTTGACTTTGATCCGATCTCTGTCAAATTTCACAGAATCACAGGCTAATCTGAAGATTTTTTGAGATTTTCATCGAAATCGGTCGAGCAGTTTCGGAGTCTATAGGGAACACATACACAACACGTCATTTCGGATCCTCCCGATCCACTAACGGTGCTTTTTTTCTATTGCCCTTGTAGGCAGACGAGTATACGGCCCACCTGATGGTGAGTGGTTACCGTCGCCCATGGACTTCAGCAATGCCAGGGGCAGAGCCAAGCCGTTGCCTACTCTCAAGACTCTTCAAGTAGCAGTCACCGATTTCGTTGACTCCGACGAAGAGCTCGACGTGCGAACTAGCCCATAGACACAACCCACTGAGTTTCTCGCCGGATCTTTTCAGTGGGTTGCGTTTCCGATCGGGTGGTAGATTCTGCGAAGCACTGCTCCTGCTAGGGCTAGTGTTAGCAACGTCCTTAGATTAGAGCCCCGTAAGCTCACCTACTCGCTCGGCTACGCTGACATAGCTTCTAAAGACTACCAGCATAAGTAGCAAAAAAATAACATACACATCGACTTTATCCATACTAGTGTTAGCAATTTTAAAGTGTGTTTTTTTTTGTTTGCTTTTCTGACACGCAGAAATAGTGTCATAGCCTACTTTTTATCTCGAAAAAAAAAAACCATCTCATTCTCACGGAAAACTACACTAACACCTTTCTTTGACCCCGCGGGCGAAGCCGCATATAACATCTAGTACCTATGTAATATTTACAAACCTGTACAAAATTTAACAATCAATTGCGTAGTTTTCGTTTTCAATTTTTTTACTTTAAGTGTTTGAAAATAACTTTTTAACGCCTGACCCTATTTCATTTGAATAATACTATTTTATTTGAATTATCTGAATAATAATGAGTGTGTGTTTTAAGTAGGTATTGTATCATAGAATGATGAATGAAAAATGAGTGTTAAAAGGAAAGAAAAAATACATTTTTATCGTAATTTCATTATTTAGGAAATTATAGTTGTAGAAGGTATAGGACCTATAATTTAATTCAGAACTATCGGTTGCAAACCGAATTCTGTCGTACTTGAATCCCAAGTCTAAATAAACTTATTCAATTGAAGTTTTATTCTTTACTTTACGGCGAAAAAATGTGTATACGGCCCATTAAATAGATCTACGGCACTAATCGGTCATGGTCATTGTCTATAGCTAAATTCGATATATAAATTATAATTTAATTTAAATATATAATTTTTCGGAATTCAGTCTGTCTTCTCGCTCTATTTACATATAGATAATTAAAATGATAAAGAATAAATTTGTACTAAATATATTACTCAACGGTCGAAACGAAAAATGACCGTATTAAAGATTATTTAATAGAATTTTAATTTCCAATGTAAAAACTTTGGTTTGCTGTTTAAAGTAATAAAAATAGTAGGTACGTTCTTAAAAAACTGTAAGAGGCAACGGAAAAGTTTTATTATTTATAAAAATCAAAACTTTTGTATCACAATTTGTATGTAATCACTATAGGTACCTAATTTTAATATATTTTTTCCGAAACCGTGTCCAGTTTTCTAGGTTTAGCCAAGCATTATTTTATTGATTAGAATTTCTTACTTAAATGATTATTTCTCAACAAACAGGTCACTGATAACGTTATAAATATTGACCTCATCGTCTTATCAAATTATTAATATTTCGGTCTCATACATTCACTCGCTCGGTTGAATTACGATCACGTAATACCCATCGACTAAAATCAATAATTTCAACAAAAATTATGATCTAGGCTTCTGACCCAATTATTATTTATTAAAAAAGTTATTAATCTAATAATGACAACAAAGAAAACGAATTTTCATAGAATACAATGCGATTAACATTACATATATTATCGGATTATAATTAAATTACTTACCTTTCTGTTTATAATGCTATGAAAGAAAATAGTCCCGAAAATCCTGACGCATTCAGAATGAATTTCTATTAAATTTGTTTCATTACCGGAATTTTATATTAGTTTGTTAAAATAAATAAATTTTTAACGCAACCCAAGTTCAAATGTTGCGCCGCGACAGACGTTTGATAGGTACTTTGAAAATCACATGTGACGTGAAAATCAATCCGACTTCTATGTTATTGCCATTTTTTGTCGACTGTGGCGCTAGCGTGACGATTTTTCTGAAATGTCTTTCCTTTATCAAGTTTTCATGTGTGGCAAAGGTTTGTGGATCTTAAGAGTGGTACCTATTCATTGTAAAAATTAACGCTTGATTTTTTAGATTTTGTTGCTGGTAATCTTTTGTTACTGATATCGTTTCTTTTTCCTACCTAAGTTTATGCCCTTGAGAGGCCATTTCAGCGTAACCCTAACAAGTAGGTGAACTCACGGGGCTCAAGCCTGGCGACGTTCCTAACACTAACCCTAGCAAGAGCAGTGCTTCGTAGAGTCTACCACCGGATTGGAAACGCGACCCACTGAGAAGTTCCGGTGAGAAACTCAGTGGACTGCGTCTGTGGGTTAATTTACTCGCCGAGCCCTTCGTCACAAGCGACGGGTTCGACGAGAACGATGACCGGACTGCTTCTAGAGACCTTCGTTATCTACGTTTCTACTTTTTCTTTAAAACAAGAAAATATGAAAGGAACTCCCTTCGAGAGCACTTCTCGAACCTGATGGAAATCCTCCACTAAACGCTGTGCTCGACTGCTAAAAAGGGCAAAAAGAGAAAACAGACATACGTAAATACTGCTGTTGCAATATGTTTAGGTGCAACTCCAATTTCTTATTTTTTCAAAATATTAATACTAAGGTACTTTTGTGATGGAGTCGCAGCATTACCTATGCTTTTCTAAAACGATTCTTTTTACTAATTCTTTATCTAATTTAACAAAATTATTTCATTCCCTAAAGTGGCTATTTAACTTTGCCCGTTTATAAAGGGATACAGCATGATTAGTACCTATATACATTTTCTTCATAGGTACCGTACGGTACCGTACCAAAACATAGACCTATATAGTTACTTCAGTGTACCAAAAGCATTATTTTGACATTTTGAAGCTATCACTTTTTTAAAGGTATTTTATGACCTGGTAACTGAGACTTTTAAGTTATGTCTTATTTTAATTTATATTCTTATTTTTATGAAAAATGATAATATGGAGTGAAATGTAATGAAGATGATTCATTTAAGACATTAATCAACTGGGATGAAATGAGATGATATGGGATGAAATATAATGTCAGTAAAATGGTGGTCTATTACTGAGATTTTTTGAGTGGACTTTTTGGAGGATCCCGAGAAGTTACGTCCAGCGGCTTTGTTTCATTTTCCCACATTTGTGCACTTTACAGATATCAAACAGTTAATAAACTACCTTTATTACACATTTAAACCTGAAGAAACAATAAATAGACAAAATAAAACAAATCACACAACATCACTCCTCTCGTTCCCGCCAAAAAGTCCTGAAGCTGTCACTTTTTTTTTTTTTTTTTTTTTTTTTTTTTTTTTTTTTTTTTTTTTTTTTTTTTTTTTNCTCGACGAGCGAATTAACCCCTAGACACAGCCCACTGAGTTTCTCGCCGGATCTTCTCAGTGGGTCGCGTTTCCGATCCGGTGGTAGATTCTGCGAAGCACTGCTCTTGCTAGGGTCAGTGTTAGCAACTCTCCGGTTTGAGCCCCGTGAGCTCACCTACACACGTTAGGGTGAAGCTGAAATAGCCTCTCAAGGCTATCAGCATAGGTTAAAAAAAAAAAAAAAAAAGAGTAAAGAAGTCCAGTAAATCAGTATGTCAATTTGAAGGTTACCAGTAAAGTAACCAATATATTAATCTGTGAGGTTACCTTTGCTTGCTAGGAAAGGAGCTCCATAAATAATTTAATAAAAAATATATATATTTAACAAACGTTTTTATCAAATTCAAACATGTCCTTTCTTAGCAGGAATATTTTTCGAGCTGTTATGCAGGTATTTTTGATTTAAAACTGCTAATTATAACTCGAAAATAGTGCTCTAATGTTTCGTAACACTACTGCCGTGTAGTCCTGAAAATGTATTTTTACATGAAGTATTTACGTCGCCTTAAATGATATTTATTATTAAATTACTTTTATAATTAAATTTCATAAAACAATAAGGATTACGCAGGATAATATGTCATTGGCTTTACCTCACGTGATCAATTGAGTTTATAAATATTTTAGGTGTGCGATTGGTATTCATTAATAATGATAAAAATAAGTACAATAAGTATACCTTTAACTAACTGCTTATGGAGTAAAAAGTAATGCTAACGAGTAAATGAAATGCTATGCAAAAATATAATGATTTTGTAGGGTTCGACATTCCGATACATTAAATAAATAAATAAATTTACAGGGATCTCAACATGTTGGAAAGGGTGTACACACAAGTTCGGTAACAACAGAGAAAAATGTATGTTATGCACCATTTGGAGCCCTGGTGAGAATACTAACTGTGCACTAATAGCAAGTATCCCTGATATATTCCAACAATGAAACAATTTTTTTTCCATTATATGATTCATACACATACAAAATTAATTACTACGCAAGTTTATAATCTTTTACAAGGAAATATTTTTTTATTCATTATGAATTAAAAATTTCAAATAAAATTAAACGTAATTCTGTCAATTTTATAGTCGAGAATTATCAATTCTAAACAAATTTTAATTTTGAGCAATATCAGGGTCTACATGTCATCTCCAGGAGTTGATGTAAGCATTTTGTTGTGCTTATGCATGTAATTGTCTGTGTATATTATATCTATAAAATAATTTAACCATTCTATTCTTATAAACGCCATTATATTTTAATGGCTACTTACTACAATTTCTAGTTTCAATGAGCTCTCAATATTTTGGTGCTATCGCAAAATCCACAATTCAGTTTGGTAGAAAAAAATGCATTCTAAAATGTCTTGAAAAAACTATATTGTAAGCATATATTGTCACAGTTTCATTGAGTCAATGTGGTATTACTCAAAAACTAGATAGAAAGATAGACAAATACGTATATGAAACTCCTAAAGAACTACACACAATCTTCATTTTTCTACTTGTGATAAGGTGCTTGCAACATTATTGAAATATTAGAATCTCATTGAAACTTGAATTCTTCTTATGACTTGGTTAAAATGATGTTTATAATGTAGATAACTGTGAAATTTTAAAACAATTAATTATATTCTACATTGTATTTGGGGGGAAAGAATTTAAAAAAAATCACATGTTGCACACAAATTCCACTTTAATTAGTAGAATATGGCCTTTACGAGAAAAAAAATCAAACATGAATAGGATGGTCCACTAAAATATTTAGCATGAGAGATATTGACTGTACTTTAAAATTTACTATGAAAATATTGTGTGAAATGAATTCTGTTGTTGCATGTTATTGCAAGCTCAATGCAACATTTGTGATGTCCTTAAGCATTATTTAACTTGTAACTGTTTTTATAGCTATTATCAACAAAGTCCAAATAGGTGAGTATCTTGTATGAAACATATTGTTTTGGATATAAAAGTATTATTAAAAGTCAACTATTTATTTGTTTTGGAAATGAATCAAAATCTAATTTAACAAAGAATTAGATTATAGGTTGAAGAAAAACTTTGTTGAGGTGACAAGGTTAGGAAGACTAAAAGTCGATTACTAAAATTAGATGTCTCATTAAAATGCTTTAGTGTCTGCAATTCTCATTATCTCCATTACCCTCAGCATATACCTGTTTACTGCTGAGCATAGGCTTCAAATTTGCAATATTTAGATTGGTCTTCAGCCTATTTTCTATGTTTTGGCAGATTTGTTGGGGAGTTCTTGCTTCATATGGTTATGGATGTTGTATGCATTATGGATGTTATGGATATTGGTAGTTCATCAGCTCAAGGTCTCTTAGCAAGTTATTTAAAAACTAGTTCTATACAGAACAATATGAGACAAGAGAACTACAGAGTCTTGTATTATATTAAATTTGTATTTTTTCTTAATTAATCCGATATGGTTTACATCTTGCTGAAACTTAAACGCATATGAAAATAAAGGCAAAATTATGATGTATTAAATAAACAAAAGTAACATCTTAAAAACAAAACAATGTCGAGCACACTAAAATTATCCTAATATCTTGTTATAAAATGTATTATTCATAAATTTTTATTTACTTATTAAACATAAAATCTGTTTATGTTTTATTAGTCTAGAATAGGTTCATCATTCATCATCTTAGGTCAATAGTGTGTTTGTTATCCTATTGATAAGATTGTTATTTATGTAAATCACATATCATACTATATCATTACACATGGTACAAGACATTATGTAAGAAGAAGGAATAGAACAAACAAGGCTGATAGTAACAAAAGAAATAGTTTTTAAAAATTAAATACATTATCATTAAAGTTGATGAAATGTTGTAGCAGAGTAAATTAATTAAATTTCAACACAATCTTCAAGTTTCAGAAATTTTGTCAGTTGTTTATATTTCAAATTATCCAATGACCCTAAAGGCTGCATTTTGTCATAAAGGCATTATTTATATCTGGATATATACAATGTAAAAAGCGTAAAGACCAAGGGAGCGAACAATATCGAAAAATAGAAATAAATTAATGTCCAATTAATATATAAATTAAAAATACTAATTAGCATCAAATGTTTTAGCAACCGAGGGCAACAAAGGAAGGTCGTATCAAATGCACCTTGATTCCTGGGGACGGTGTAGGTCCTGAGCTTGTCTACGCTGTACAAGAAGTTTTCAAGGTAATTTCGTAATGTTAAATCCCAACTTTGAAACATGGGTTAAGTTATAAAATATACATAGTCGTTTTTTTTTTATTGCCTTATAGGTACACAATCATACGGCCCACCTGATGCCATAGCTGCCATAGCTGCATACCGTTTTAGTTGGTTAACAAAGCCCACGGACATTAACACATGGTTTTCAGTTAGTTTGTCTTATTTGGCTGTAGTAAAAGAATTTAAAAATTATTGACACATCATATTGTCTCAACTAAATATTGCAATAACATATTATCTATCTTTAATCTTGTATCTACAGATATATGTATATGTCCACAGGCGGCCAGCATTCCAGTGGACTTTGAATCCTTTTTCTTTTCTGAAGTGAATCCAACACTTAGTGCACCACTCGAAGACGTCGTAAACTCTATCGCTGTTAACAAGATTTGTATCAAGGTAGCTCAGTTAATATTGAATCTATAGACTGATTTGTTCCTTTTTTTTAATAAATAAGTATAACTCTTTGATTATTAATTACTAGTACAATTAAGAATTCAGTTAATATTGACGCAATGGGTGTTTATTTTCCTGGCCCTAAATTTTTTATTTATTGCTTAAATGGGTGGATGAGCTCACAGTCCACCTGGTGTGAAGTGGTTACTTACTAAGCCCATAGACATCAACAATGTAAATGCGCCACCCACCTTGAGATATAAGTTCTAAGCTCTCAAGTATCATTACAATATATGACCTATTGAAGTTTTTTTTTCTCAATTATGATTTGCATTGTTACAATCGAATCCATGTTGTTATGGATGTGTATTAATTAACCTATGTTCAATTATACATTTACTAGACTATGGATCTGGAATGTTACTGTTGATTGAAATCTTTCACTACAGGGTATCTTAGCCACTCCTGACTTCTCTCACACTGGCGAGCTACAGACCCTAAACATGAAGCTCCGTAATGCCCTGGATCTTTACGCTAACGTGGTACACGTGAAGTCATTGCCCAACGTGAAGTGCAGGCACCAGGACGTGGACTGCATCATCATCAGAGAACAGACCGAAGGAGAGTACTCAGCTTTGGAACATGAATCCGTTCCCGGTTGGTAACAAGTATATTAAGAACTAGCGGTCCGCTCCGGCTGCGCTCGGGTCTTTAACAAAATTTTTAACAATATTTGACGATATTTTATTTTTTTTAAATAAAAGAATACTTATTGCGGCATAACTACAACACGACACTTTCTGTAAATATTAATGTGTTCTACAAAGTCGTAGTACATTATTTTATTCTATCATCAATAGTTTTCGCAGGGCACGCGATATAAAGAATATTTTAGGTAATTTTTTACACCTAGGGTTACATTATTGGAGTTTTAGTAAGGATCCCTAATTTTTTTCAAAAAATATAGCCTATGTCACTCGGGAATAGTGTAGCTTCCAAATAGTGAAAGAATTTTTCAAATCGGTTCAGTAGTTTCGGAGCCTATTCAATACAAACAAACAAATAAATCTTTCCTCTTTATAATATTAGTATAAAAGTATAGATTAAATGAAATACTTAAAAGCACTATCCCATTTGCTTCTGGCCTCATGTTCTGTTAGTATAAATAGACTTAGAAACATCGTTACACAATACATTTATGAGGAATGTTTTTTAAACGACCATAGATATTAAAATTTTATGAACCTGATTTTTTATAAATGAACTGTGTATGTATAAAATTTGTTTTTGTTAAATCTAAGGATTACAATTTTTTATGTGGAATTAACCTATACTAATATATAAATCTACAGTGGTTTTTACGGATGTTCCGTTATAACTACTGAACTATACATCCGATTGACTTGAAACTTGGTATCCATGTAGAAAATAGATGTACTTAATGGATAGGCTAATATTTATATGAGTGTTGGACTCCCTACATCGGTTGCGGGGGCGTTAATGATGAGAATCTTTGTGGGGGTGAGAAATAATAATGTCAATTTTAAATGCCCAGCAAAGCGGATGGGTACAGCTAGTATTATATAATAAATTTATTCATAGAGTTTGTCAGTTAGGATTCCTTTTCAATGTAAAATAGACATCCTTGATTAAAATGTGTTTTTATGTTGCCAACTAGGCGTGGTGGAGTGTTTGAAGATCATCACCGCAGCGAAATCCGAGCGTATTGCGAAATTCGCTTTCGACTACGCCGTGAAGATGGGCCGCAAGAAGGTGACCGCCGTCCACAAGGCCAACATCATGAAGCTGGGCGACGGACTGTTCCTGCGCAGCTGCGAGGAGGTAACGAGGAGGTTTACTACTGGTGGTAGGATCTTGTGAGTCCGCGCGGGTAGGTACCACCACCCCGCCTATTTCTCCCGTGAAGCAGTAACGCGTTTCGGTTTGAAGGGTGGGGCAGTCGTTGTAACTATACCTGAGACCTTAGAACTTATGTCTCAAGGTGGGTGGCGCATTTACGTTGTAGATGTCTATGGGCTCCAGTAACTACTTAACATCAGGTGGGCTGTGAGATCGTCCACGCATCCAAGCAATAAAAAATAAAAAAAACTCGACTGCTTCCTGGTCAACCAAGTCAGCAGTACAGGAAAGACCTTTCATTACAGCTTATTTATCATGAAATGTGAGGGTGTTTGTCTATTTTTTGAAGTGAAACTTCTAATGCGGCTTCCAACAAGGTTGCGTTAAACGTTTAACTCTGCCATGGAATAGAAAGATACAGAGCGAGAGTGAATGCGTGCCACTCGTGCGCATGCGCGTAGTATACCTTGTTAGAGGTCAGCGCGAGCGTTAGCAACGAGTAGCGTACAATTTAATGAAGTGTTTAAAAAAATATTTATATTTAATTTTCTATCTACAATTTAAAATATATATACTATAAATGTCAAAGGTTTCGCATCTCTTATACACAGCATTCCCTATTACAAGAGCAATCTGATTTAAGGATGAAAAATGAAGAAAACCACAATACTACACATCGAAAAAGAAGTTTCACTTCATTCACCCTCACCAAGTTGCACGCGCATTGTTTTTTTAAATCAATCAATGGGTAAAAGCTAATGAGACTTAATCAAGGGGACGCTATTATTTTTAACACCTTTGTACAATGTCGGTAGTGCATTAATTTGTGACCGATAGTATGTCTTTTTTTATTGCCCTTATAGGCAGACGAGCACACGGCCCACCTGATGGTGAGTGGTTACCGTCGCCCATGGACTTCAGCAATGCCAGGGGCAGAGCCAAGCCGGTGCCTACCGCAAAAGCGTTTTTGGAATAGCTGTAATGACAGACTTAGTAGGCGCGTGTGAAACGGAAGTATCTTTAGTATTTCGTGTTCGTAAAATTGTATCATTTTTTTCAGATGGCCAAATTATACCCTCGCATCCAGTTCGAGAAGATGATCGTGGACAACTGCACGATGCAGATGGTGTCCAACCCGAACCAGTTCGACGTGATGGTGACTCCGAACCTGTACGGGAACATCGTGGACAACCTGGCCAGCGGGCTGGTGGGCGGCGCCGGCGTAGTCGCGGGGGCCTCCTACAGCGCTGACTGCGCGGTCTTCGAACAGGTACTTAGCTTCTTCTATTTTTTTTATTGCCTTTGTAGGCAGACGAGCATACGGCCCACCGGATGGTGAGTGGCCACCGTCGCTTATAGACGTCAGCAATGCCAAGGGCAGAGTCAAGCCGCTGCTTACCATTAAGTACTCTCCGCAAGCCTCGTTTGAAGAAGGACATGTCATAGCGCTCAGAAAACACTGTTGAGAGGAGTTCATCCTTTTGTCAATTTAGATTTTTACCAGTGATATATTTATTAGGCGAATTTTGAGTCCTCGCGGATGGGACAGCCGTTATCTGATATAATTCAGACCTTATAATTTAATATAAGGTCTGAAAAGGAAGGTTGCAAGTCGACTTACCCAATTAAATTAATGCGAATTTTTTTCATGACGTATTATCGAGCTAAGGTCAAAACTGAATATTTCAGTTATGGCCGCATTTCAACCCCTTTGCAATCGCAACTTCAATCGAAATCGAGATCTGGTTTCGTTTTATGTTATTGTCTTTATCTATGTCTATATCTCTACAATTCTATTTGGCACCCTCTATTTTATTCTGGAAAGTAGGTATAAACATAGTCCTAAACACGGTCCTATTCACAATAATTTATCGCAGATTTATAAGCCCGTTATATGAGAATTCATTTTTGGAGTTTACTCCTTAAGAATCGATTTACATATATAGGCCCGGGGTATGAAAATTATGGGGACCAAAATCGTACTAGAGAGTATAGCATGTCACACGAAATGCGTTATGCGCCTGATTGGCCATGGTGATGCGTGCGCGCGCCAATCAGGAGCCAACGCGCGGCCGCGTTATCGCAGGTGACGCCGGGCTGCTGCGCCGGCAGTCCGCCACAAAGCCTCGTACTGATCGCGCGTTTCTCTCATTATTGTATTTTCATATATTTGTTAGTCGTTTGTTTTGTGTCTCGTTAATTTGTTAATAATCTGTAGTGTATCGTGTTGTCGTAATATAGAACTATTTCTCGTATTGTTTCGTTTAATTTACCGACATCGTTTTGCTTGTGGCCGGACGCCGTTCGGGTTCGATTCCTGAACGTATCAACTGTTAGTGGGTTGATACCCGAATATAACCCGCTACAAATCATTTATTAATAAAGCTTTTTTAATAAATGCATATTTTACTGTATTCAACTGACACAAATTTATATTTATATCCAGTAAACTCCAGTCGTGCGTCGGAGCGGACACACACACTTTTTTTTTTTTTTGTTCTATCATGAATAAAATTCGTCAAGGTCCGATGACTCGTTTAGAAAGAAGACCATTAATTACACGTTTCATTCACTATTACTTCAATTCAGATTCAGACATATTTCCGGTCACCGTCCTCGCTTGCGACGAAGGGCTCGACGAGTAAATTAACCCACAGACACAGCCCACTGAGTTTCTCGCCGAAACTTTACAGTGGGTCGCGTTTCCGATTCGCTGTTAGATTCCGCGAAGCACTGCCCTTGCTAGGGCCAGTGTTAGCAACACTACGGTTTGAGCCCCGTGAGCTCACCTACTAGTTCGGTGAATCTATAATAACCCCTTGAGGTCACTAGAATAGGTAGGAAAAAAAGAGATTTTTTTCGCTTATCACATGACCATTATTAACTCCTTTATTCAATCTCCAAAAGAAATAACGTTAGTATTTATGTAACAGGGAGCAAGACACATCTTCTCCGGCGCCGTAGGCAAGAACATCGCGAACCCGACCGCCATGCTGCTCTGCTCCGCCAACCTCCTGGCGCACGTCAACCTGCCGCAGTACTCGAAGATGATCAAGAACGCCATCAATAAGTACGTATTACCCGACAATTTTTATTTTGAAGATCTACAAATAATAATAATTAATAATAATAATAAGACGGAGTCTCGGGTATTGCTGGTGGATATCACCATTCCCTACGACGAGAACCTTGTACGCGCCGAGGCAAATAAAAAGACCAAATATCTGGACCTGGCGCACGAGGTGACCGACATGTGGATGGTGGTATCTACAGAAATAATCCCGGTAGTTGTATCGGTGAATGGTAGGGTCCCTAAAAGCCTCTCAAAACATCTCGAGAGGCTTGGTCTCAAGAAAAAGTCGGTGGTGGCCCAAACGCAAAAGGCAGTCTTGTTGGACAATGCCCGTATAGTTCGCCGGTTTCTCACACAATAGTCCCTAATGCTCCGGCCAATTGTTGCCCACCTCGCCGGAGTGTGTCCTGCCGTCTTCTCAGGCGAGGCAGTGTTCAATCCACAATAATAATAATAATATAGCGTAAGCTCTCAAAAAGGAAAAATAGCCCGATTTTGAAACATTATTTTTATTGGTGGTCCTATTGGTCTTAGCGTGACCAACAGGATATAGCCTATAGCCTTCCTCAACAAATGAGCTATCTGACACTGAAAGAATTTTTCAAATCGGCCCAGCAGTTCCTGAGATTAGCGCGTTCAAACAAACAAACAATGCGCCACCCACTTTGAGATACAAGTTCTAAGAAATCTATTTGAATTTAAATACAAGTTCTAAGAAATCTATTTGAATTTAAATTGTGCTAATAAAAAGTTAAACTATTTCAATGTTATTACTTTATAATGTTTTTATTTTACAGAGTTCTGAAAGACGCCAAAGTGCGAACAAAAGATCTTGGCGGTCAGTCCACCACCAAAGACTTCACAAACGCGGTCATTCACAGTCTCTCCTAAAAGTTGCCTGGAAAATTATTTTAGTCTCTTTTGACACTCGCCCGTGTCGCTACTAACATAAAAATGTAGTGTAACATTTATAGAAGAAGATCATTATTTTTTTTTGTAGCAAAATCATATTTGAACATACTAACAATCTACATCGTGCGTTCTATGTTGTAAAATAAATTAATCAAATGTTAAGTTGTTTTAAGTAATAATCTCTACTAGTGGTCCCGCAGTAGTCGAAATTCGACTATAATTAATTGGAAGTGTAAGTTTGTACACTATTATGATTGTATTTTATACTTCTATAATCACAAATTTAGCTAAGACTACGCAATAAAAAAAATTAACAAAGACAAACCATATTCTATTCTCAATTTGACAACAGACGTCAAGAACAAAAGTTTGACAATAAATAGTATGCATGCGTGTGTGCGTCAAATACACGGTATGTAGTGTGTATAATGTTTTCCTTATTGATTTAATGTATCTTTTATGCATTATTTAAAAAAAATTATTAGCATTGTGCACTCCTTCTCTATATTCTCTATAAGTGTGGGACATTTCATACTCCTCCGTCCGCGCAATTTTCGTAAAAAGGCATACAAAGTTTTTGCTTCACGTATTAATATATAGATTATTCATAAAAAGTTCTATACATTTATTTGTGTTAATAGCGACATCTAGCGAAGATTTATGTATCAATTGGACTAAATTGAGCGCCATTTAAAGAATTATTTCTACTTAAAATAGTGATCTGGTGTATAGGTTACGAATTTAATAAATAGTAACCAATTCAATTCAGTATTTCTCAATTTATTTATTTTAATATATAAAAATTAGTTACCGATGTAAATAATGAAAATAAAACAGTTAAATTGTTAAATGGTATTTTTATTTATTCAGATTTGAATCAAAATTGAATATTGTTGGCAAATTTATTAAATGGAAATAAAGTTGAATTTTATTATATTTCTCCTAAGCTTTCCTTGTAGTAGTTTTGCTAGTTTGGTTATATTATAGTTGCATAGTGTGCGAGCTTTAGTCGAAAGCTCCCGGCTGCGGTACAACTCTCGCAACGGCCAACTTCTTAACCCTGTCTGATATGACGTACTTCAGTGCTTTTGGTGCCACCTGAAATAATCGTTATATTAATTATTGTTAGTTAGCTTCCTACCTACTCAAGTAATTTTCTCACAGCATCATATTAAGACACAATAGAGGCATCTTTGTCATATGGATGAATTATTTAGATAGTAATCAAATCTTGATGAGCAAAAAAAAAATTTAATGAAAATAATTATTTTTTTTAATTTTATATTAAGTGTTTGATATCATTTCAAATTACTACAAGGATGAACTTATCGCGTTCTCTTATTAGGATATCGTTAATATTGAGATTCGTGATTTCTGCCTTATAAAACAAATGATTATTTAGCATATCGTCGTTGTCAAACCAAAATCTGCTATGTGCAGTTTTTGACCTTTTCGACTATACGAAAAGGTCAAAAACACACCCCTATCTACCGTATAAAAAAAACTGTTTTGTGTATATAGCTTTAATATTTATCTATAGCTTTCATATGATAGAGTTCATAAAAATTCACCTTCGTATAAAATTTTATACGAAAATGTTTTTACTCGTTAATTCAAAATAGAGTTTTTGCACATAGCAGATTTTGGTTTGACAGCGACGATATTCTAAAATTTTATGAAACTGGTAGCACACCTTCTCCGGGTTCCTGTACCACGTTTCCTGTGAAAGTCTCTTGTAAATCTTGAACATTGGTCTCGACGATATCTGCATGAGCCTTGGTAGTAATGCTTCCAATGGTTTACTTTGGCCTCTCTATAATTCAAATTCATCCATTAATAAGAATGAAATCCAACCGACTTAAAAAAAAATAACCGATTCTTTTACCTAGTTCTAAGAGTGAGTAATACAATGGTAATTTATAGGTATTACAACGGTATTTGAGGTCAATATTTTATAGGAAACCAGAATTGGCCCGTCGAGCTTATGTCCCACTTGTCTTAAGTGGTTACAGAGCCCGCAGTCAAAAAAAAGTAAAAGCAAGTATACATCCTTTAAGCTAGAAGGCTTCAAGGATTCTTTCGCGATCAACCGGCACGATGGTGATGCCTTTAATAGTCTAGAAGAAATCCGGTAAACGGCTACTACAAGATAATCATGCATGGATAAAGCAGCAATAAAAAAGCAACAATTGTTGGTCTACCAGGTACTGGTGGCAGGACCTCTTGTGAGTCCGCACGGGTAGGTACCACCGCCCTGCCTATTTCTGCCGTGAAGCAGTAATGCGTTTCGGCTTGAAGGGTGGGGCAGCCGTTGTAACTACATTGAGACCTTAGAACTTATGTCTCAAGGTGGGTGGCGCATTTACGTTGTAGATGTCTATGGGCTTCAGTAACCACTTAACACCAGGTGGGCTGTGAGCTCGTCCACCCATCTAACAAAAAAAAACACGCATTCTTGTCGTTTTTTCCTTTAAAAACGAACTATAGATTTAACGAGATTACGCACTTTAGCTGGAGGTGGCCTAAAGTCACGTTTCGGTCCGGCTATCTGACTGATGTAATCCATGTGTTTCTTCCATTCGCTTTCGGTCCAACCTTTCTTCTTTTTGACGTCCTACGAAGTTTGTTATTATTAGTTTTCATAACAATTGTATGTGATGTTTTGGCTAATTGAACTCCAATCAGGATCGCTAATTAACAGTTTTGTGTTGTAATTTAATCGGGCATACGGTACCTATATTTCATTCTACCATTTACTGAGTTTTAGAGACATGTGTAATAGGTAATTATTGTCTCGTGCTCACACCGTTACAAGTCAGTTTTGTTCGAAATTTGAAACTTAGATAAATGTAGGTTTAAAGTTGATTTTTGTCTATTTACAAAGGAACATATTATTATACTACATCATTGATAATAATTAGACGTAACTAGACGCGTGTTGACTAGAGCTTACAGTTGAGACCTTCGTAGAACTTGGTTGCTGGTTAATATTTAGTAGGTATGTTTCGATCAAATCAGTTCAAAAACATAAAGAGCATTTTACAATGGCAAAAGTGTATGGATTTTTCGTTTAGAATAAAATAGTACCTTAGTGTCTTGTTTCTTAAGATCGATTACACAGTTGGCGAGCTTCGAGTAGCACGTCGCATTCGCTGCCTCAATCATTCGATCTATACGCTCCAAGCGTTCCTCGTTAAACCTCTGCTTGTAGGTCTTTTTTAATATTAGGAATCGTCTAGAACAGTGGCGGGCAAACATTTTTAATGGCGGGACACAAAGTTTAAGAAATTCTAGAGGAGGACCAGAATTATAGAAAAATGCATTCATTTTGTATTAAAGCTTTTTAATAAACAAAATACCTTTTACTGTTACGCCTTGTTAGCCGTGTGAGACGTGAGGTGTGTGATAGATAGATGAAAAGAATGGTTTTTTTTTAAATAAATAAACTAATACCTGTGACCGATTGCCGAGATAATTATAATGATGGCAAGTTAATTACGAGATAGTGAAAGCTCAAAACACCCCTGACGAATTGGAGCTTTTAATTATAAATGTCAGATTTTATTTTACGCGCCAAAGTGCTGACTAGAATATTTAGGATGGATGGACTCTCGGCGGGCCGGATTAAATGCTTCCGCGGGCCGTACTTTGCCCGTCACTAGTCTAGAATGTTAAATATCAATCTAAGCGACTGAGAACAAATCACGCTCGATCATCCGGCTCCGAATTAGGATGCGTCCCAGATTTACTTATACACCAGATATATTATTGATTTCTCCGCTATTTAATGGATGTTATTTATACATATAAACCTTCCTCTTCAATCACTGTATCTATTATAAAAACCGCATCAAAATCCGTTGCGTAGTTTTAAAGATTTAAGCATACATAGGTATATAGTTTGAAGTCGTCGTGGCCTTAGGGATAAGACGTCCGGTGCATTCGTGTTGAGCGATGTTCGAATCCCGGGCGGGTACCAACTTTTCTAATGAAATACGTACTCAAGAAATGTTCACGATCGACCCGTGGAAGGAATAACATCGTGTAATAAAAGTGAAACCCGCAAAATTATAATTTGCGTAATAACTGGTGGTAGGACCTCTTGTGAGTCCGCGCGGGTAGGTACCACCGCCCTGCCATTTCTGCCGTGAAGCAGTAATGCGTTTCGGTTTGAAGTGTGGGGTAGCCGTTGTAACTATTCTGAGATCTTAGAACTTATATCTCAAGGTGGGTGGCGCATTTACGTTGTAGATGTCCATGGGCTCCACTAACCACTTAACACCAGGTGGGCTGTGAGCTCGTCCACCCATCATCATCATCATCATCATCATCAACAGCCCATAGTCGTCCACTGCTGGACATAGGCCTCTCCCAATCTACACCACTGAGCCCGGTCTGCGGCTCTCCTCATCCACTTCTTGCCGGCCACCGTGCGGAGGTCATCGCACCATCTAAGCAATACAAAAAAAAAAATAGGGACACAGAAAACAAATTTGTTTTATACTATGTAGTGATGAATACTAACCGCAAATAAGGCCAGGACACATCGTGCACTCGATCAGAGAGTTGACTGTTTAATGCCGACTTCCTTATTCCCCTCGGGGTGTAAGCCGGCATTCCTTCGCCGGTATCGATAATGTACTTCCTAGGGACACTTAGTATGTTCAAACGTTTAGCTATCTTATACGGGAAGGTGTTGGTTGGCGGATCGAATTTTGGTTTACCCATTTCTGTGGTGAAGTCGGCTGTTCTGAGAGTTATAAAGGGCGGTGGATGGTGTTAGTCTATTGAATTACATGTTGATTTTTATTTTTATTTTTGTGTTAAAGTTTCGTCATTTTGTAGGTAGGTACGGTTTTTGACAATTACTTGTCGTGATAGTATTTTGACAGTGTCGTTAGTTAAATCACGAAAGATATTAAATAACTTTTTACTATAGTTAAGATTATGATTAACCTTTTTTGACCGATGTACTAATGTGTATATATATTATTATTTATTGTCATTATTATAAGAGTGTCCAACACTTATAAGTCTTAGCCTATCCATTAAGTACTTGTATATTCTACATGGATACCAAGTTTCAAGTCAATCGTATGCATGGTTCAGTAGTTATAACGGAACATCCGTAAAAACGACTGTAGATTTATATATGTATTAGTATAGATATGATTGCAGACAAAACAGTGCCATTCTCCTGTGTGTGCCAACTGAGTTTCTTGGTTTTTTTTTCTCATAACTATTAAAGCTTTTTTTTCACATTTACAGAAAAGAGTCAAAACGAAGACAAAATGTAACATATTAAATGAATCTAAACCTTAAAGACTCCGTGCTTACGGTTGAATTTAGATCGATTTGATTTCGTAAATTAAATACTTTTAAGTTTAATAAGAATTCTCTTCAATTATTGCTTGCTCTTATTGAGTATTACAGGGATACAGTGAGATCATTTTTGCTAACAATCAGTATAGATGCGACACTTTGTGATTACTGTAAAATATAATAATTAAAACTTTTTCACCGTTTATTTTAGGGTTACCGGATTTTTTATTATCATATTATTTCCGATTTTTCAAATAATTTACAATTTCGGTGGTCACGGATCATCATACGAAATACGTTTCAAAAAAAACGTGAAATCAAACCGCAGTTTTAATTAGGCCAATGACACGCGAAAACCGATGAAACTATGTACTATTATGTAAATAAAACAAAAAACTAAATAAAAATGTTTGTATTTCTTATAACAAAATCGTTATCATTCATAACTTAAATACTGATATGATCAGACAAACATTTTCATAACACACCGCCCGCGCTAGTTTCACATCTGTTCCACCTATAAAACCAGTCATGTGAAAACTGAACCATCTCAACAAGACAGTATATTAACATAAGCCATTATTGATAATTATTAATCGTGTCAACATTGAACTACTATTTATATTAATTTAGTAGATATTTCTGTAATTGGCAACATTTTTCGATAACAGATTCGCAATGCAAGATTTAAAAGGTAACGCAATATTGCTATTGGTTTTTAATAAATAAAAAAATTGTACACGTTACACAATGTAGATATTGCAATACTTACTGATCAATTCTGAGAGTTATTTGTATATTCAATGTATTTAACGATAGACAATGTTGCGTTTTTCTTAAATGAAAAGTAAAAAAATTTAGCATATATATATATAAAATATAGAAATCAAACTAATGTCAAACACACGTAACAAAGTGTACATAATTCTAAAAGCCCAATAACCCGAAATTGTATTCAAATAAAATGTAACGACAAAAATTTTATAGGTGAACGTTTTTTTTTTAATTTCAACAAAAATAAATAACATATTTATGTTTAAAATTTCGAATAAAGATCTCTAGAATTTCGTTTATTTTGGATCTTATTATTTATTGTATGTGGCGCCAAAACATATGAAGGCCCATACAATATAATTTATTTGTATTTTTTAAGGCAGGAATTTCATTCTTCAATAATATTCCACAATACTATGATTTACGAAATAATGTAATAGTGAACGATTAATATTAAAGTTTGCATAATAAATTTAAAAAAACTTGAGTTTTTTAAACATTTTTATATTTAATTTCACTGTGTAAAATTATTTTTCGTACACTTATGAACTATGGCTTTTTCTGCTCATAATAGTGTTCATTGTCATGTTGATTTTACATATATTGCGTTGTAATAGTATTGTGTAATGTTATTACAGATCTACGACCTAACTTGAACACTTTATTCAACCAGTCCAAATATAATGGACTTACAATAGAATCGTCAAAAATCTTATCTTATTCACACTAAAAAGTGTTTGCTTCAAAAAGTTTTTCGACGCTTATAATAAACTTGTAGAAATAAGTGCAATAAAAAAGCGAACGGTACAAATAAATAAATAAACAATTCAACGACAAGATCTGCTTGTAAAAAGACACTATTACATAAAAAATATTTTCAATCGAATCTGCAAAAAAATATATGGCAACACTCTCTAGTTGATATGTCATTACGGGTGAGACTATTGAATTCAAATTTATTGAAAAAAATAATTAAAAACATACGCAATGTACCTATGTACATAAACTGGTATTTTTACTTATTAAAATACCATACCAACGTAAGTGACGTAAAAAAAAGTTATAAAAAATTAGGTTCAACAAACATAATTGAAAATTGTAATAATATTTTTGGCGCGGTTTAATCTAGTCTTATTCCAAGCCATATTTTCGAATTCAGTTGTCAATGGACAATAAAAAAGTTAATCATTTTGGAAATGATTAGAAACCATTCCAAAACAGTATGTTTAGGCCTTGCCGCGTTTTAATGTCAGCTAGGATTGCACACAGAATTATTTTATTAACAAATATTTTCATTAATTATCATCTGAGACTCGTAGATAGGACTAGAATACTTTTACGACAATTGCGCCAATTTGTGGATTCCGTAAAATAATGGAAAAGTTGGAAATTGTAAGATGAATTAAACAAATGTGAGATTAAACCGTATAAGTTTTTAATTCATCGCACAGCCATGAGAATCCATATTTATTTTTTTATATTACCTCCAGGTCAGTATTTAAAAAATGATGGTTCTTTCAAAGATCAAATAAATTTTGTCCCTCAAGTAAATCATAATGTGAAACAGTTGAATTATTCATGAAACTATTTTTTCTCTCCATCTAGTATGTCATCATAACCGAGTGCCTGTTTTAATAAAAACATCTGCACAGGTTTATTATTGGCTGTCTGATCGAGAACGTTAGTCTTGTATGATCATTAAAAAAAAAACAGATCTTGCGTATTATTGTTGCGTGATGTTCGAAATAAATCAAACTATACTATTTTGTTCCGAGTGCATCAACGGTTGCGATGACGGCGACTCCCGGCTCTGGCGTCTCTGAAGTGGGGGTGTTGGCTTCTTCGACAATTTTCTGGTGCTTTTGTCGGTTGACAATACTGGAATTGCCATGTAGAAATATTAAAACGTTGACATTCAGAAAAACGATAAGCTTAGGTACATTAATGCTCTCATGTAAAACTATAGATCAAGGCCGGATCAATATTTTTTAATAATCAACTTTTTTTCATTTATTATTCAAATAAAATTAGCATCATGTAATTGACAATAAATGTTAAGATCCTTGATAAATATACCAGAGAGGTTTAATTTTTAATTTAAAACATCATTCATAAAGACTGTGTTTATATTTTAATTTGATTATAAGATAAGAAAAAAAAAATGGTTATATTTTTTTTTTGCCACAGATCCAAAGGCCTATAGGAATCGAAAATAAAGATGTTAGTAATAATTTAAACAATTTTGTTTACGTATGTACATTTAAATTTTATGGCATTGACTATTGTTTTTCTATTTCTACTGATATTTTGTTATTATGCATGCACGATATTCGTTATTAAATTATTATCTGTAATAAAAACCCAACCACCATACTGTTGACCACGTTTTAACCGCAAGCCCCAAAGACCCTGACACAGATAAGCGTTATGTATTTTAATAATTAATTTTCTTGGTTGATTATGATGCCAACGCGACCAATTACACAATTTTGAACAAGACATCGCATGAACATATGAACTATATGATTTGTATTTTATAATGGAGATTCTAGCTAAAACATTCCGATATTTTGCATCAAAATATGCCGGGAGCATTTTGTGTTTTAGCAACGCATTTCATATCTAGACAATTTATATACAAATCGATTCACATTTCATTCTTTATTTTTACATCCAACGAGCACACAAACGACCCTTTAGTATTGACCCGTTGATAAAGCGCAATGGACATCGAATTGAAAGATAATTTTGAGTATCAATTTCTTTGGTACAACATAATAATGTTAATTTTTTATACTAATGTTCATCGTATATGAGAACAGATGAGTGGCTGCTGTGCTCTTAGCATTGATGATGAGCATGAGCGACAGTAAGCTACCGGATAGGCAACTTTAAATATTTAAAGTACATTGCGCTTCGGACGAACAAAGTGAAGATATAATTTCCAATTATGCTATTGACATTAATTACTATTTCATTTAAATTTCATCGTCTCACTGGTTGAGTGATTAATGACCGAAATTCTAAAACACGGGATCTCTGTTATATTCCCGGTCAGTGTTCATCGTGAAAAAAATCATACAATTATTATTGAGTTGTACAAGTTACCGGTAATTTCAACACAAAAGTTCTACTTAAATATTGTTAAGTATCTTACTTAGTTACTGGGGCCTATAGACATCTACAACGTAAATGTGCCACCCACCTTGAGATATAAGTTCTAAGGTATCAAGTATAGTTATAAGTTTATATGTTCCTAAAAAATCCAAGTTTTTTTTTTGTGATGAAAATGAAATTCAGTTTAATACGTCAGAACTAATATAACGTCCGTTTTCACTAATGAAATTTTAAATTAAATGTACATTAAGGATTTAAATATATCACGTTGACTGCTATATAGGTCACCGGTGCCCTACGCGGCGCACTGATGTAATTATGTCGATTTCTGTTACTAAGATGCCTTGCCTGCCTCTTTTTGTTTATTAATGTATGTTTTAGTCTTTTAGGTCTTTTAAAAATAGATTCATTCTTAGTATCTGCGGATTCGTTATTCCTAGAGTATACTAGATATTTCGGCGTCTTAGTAAGTAGTGTGGCAGTGGCGTAGCGATCTTATCTCGCGTCTGAGGCACAATACCAGTTTGCCTCCCCCCCCCCCATTCGAAAACTATATAATATTAAATGTAAAATATACGCCCAAATAATAAATAAAATAAATAAATAGATAAACAAAGTTAAATAAATAAAGTCATAGGCACAAGATAGGCTTTAAATTTGAGACACAAAATGTACACATTTAGAAATTAATAGAGATGAAGATGAATAGAAATGAATGTTCGAATATAGAATTAGTTCAAAATATAGCTATTATTTATAAAGAAATCCAGTTTTAAAACAATAAAAAATTTGATTTAGACCAGGGGTGAGCAACCTTTTTAATCAATGGGCCAATTGAAATTTAATTTTTTTTTTGGTGATGCCGCAGATAGCTTAGCTGTTATTAATAATTTACGAAACTTTATTTCTTTATTAAAAATAAACAAGAAAAGTAGGAGAAAGTTGATAAATTCAATTTTATCTCATCCTTGATTTAGACTATTTATGTTCCTTTTTTTTCCTTTTTATTTACGAATTAACATTTATTATATATAACAATGGCACTAAATTCGAAAATGTACTTTCCAGAAATCATTTTTTTTTCGCCACGGTAACTGGTCCCGTGCTAAGTTCGTAAAGAACCTGTGTTACAGGTACCAGATGACGGAAATAAATGTAAGATTCTTATTATACACATACATAATATATATTTACCCCCTTGTGCAATGACCATGTCACTTACCACTACACCAGACGGCCGTTAAAATTATAATAAAAGTAGCGGCCGGTAGGCATGATGCCCCCCCGCCCCCAACCCCCCTGTTAAGCCATTGAACACCGGTGACCTATTTCAGCGTGTTAATATCTAATATATACATCACATTGTCAAAGTTACGGCGTCGCAAGCGTATACGTGACGACGTGCGTGCGTCTTTGAAGTCGGAAACCGCCACCTCTACGTTACAGAGTGATAGACACGCATTGAACATACCTCCCGCACTGACTCGACATAACGTTATGCGAACGATGTCGGTGACGTGTTTATTATGAAAACAGAAAGAAAAAAAAACACATTCATTTTTATAACATTCCCATGTAACGTAACGAACGAATCCTTCGTCGGTGAGCGATCGAGGAAGCGGCGGCCATCTTGATGCTTTTGTGTTTTGTCAAGTTCACAAACAAAATTAGCTCTTAATAGCATCATCATAAAGTACAATTTCGAAACCGTTTTTGCATACGAAAAATTCTTGTTTTATATTCGAATGATTTAAAAAATTTTGGCTTCGTAATTTGACAGAACACAAAAAGCATTTTCCTCTATAATAGTCCTGTCAAAAACGACCACACTCAAAAACAAAAAGACATTCACACAATTATTACCGTTATTATAATCATATTATTATACAAAATGATTATTCACCGATAAACTTAGATAATTTGCTTAACGGTGACTTTAATTATTTTGTTTTCAAGCTTAGATAGTCTACACAACTACTGAAGCGCCTCTAGTGGACATTTAAAGAACTAAATATTTCGAAGAATCCCACTGTGATTAAAATCAAATCAAACGAGCTTTTGTTGTGCGGTAGAAATAGGCAGGAGTTTGGCACGCATTATAGTTAAAAAAACTCCGTCAGATTAAGTTCTAGAGTGAAGAATCTGTATTATAATGTGACTGCTGACCAATTCCTAGTGTGGTCGATATTTCCCGTTATTATAAATAGCGACTAAATTGACAAATAAAAGGTTCGCATAAATGAGGCCGTCAGCGCACAAGTGGCCTAAGCTTACCATAGTTAGCATGGAGATAATGAGGTTCGCATTTACCTTTACAATAACTTCGTAGGCAAAAAAATACGCGCTAAAATGATGTTTACAAATGCATCTATTATCTATGGATGAAACTAGGGATAGGCCGATTTTGCATCAAAATTTATCATGTTTTAAATAAATTGCAATACATAAGCACAAATATGGATTGCGGGTTAGGCCATTTTTGCGCTGACGGCCTCAATTATTAAATTATGTTAATTTATTATCGTTTCAACTATCGTTAATCTCAGTGTACGATAAGAAGTTATCAATTTTGATTGGAATACTTTTTATGGTAACGAATTAAAATAAATAAGAACTGATTGTAATCTATATCTAATCTAAAACGATTTAAATTACTAAAAGTAGGTAATCTTTACATTTTAAATTGTATCAAATATCGAATTTAATCAAAATTCATTTTAATGATATTAGAATTATTTTGTTTTTGTATACTAACCAAGCCTTGATCTTCTGGTATATAAAGATCGCGATCATAGGGAAGGGCGTCATGATAGCTGCCGAGACTGGGACGACTGGAAACCGAGAAAAAAGAAGCGAAATATATTTCTGGTTCAAAACAAAAAGCATCTGTTTAAATTTGAATTCGAATTTCGAAGGATGGAACGTGAGAATTTGAACAGCGAATATACCGGGAAACCGGGAGTGTTGCTAACACTGGCCCTAGCAAGAGCCGTGCTTCGCAGAATTACCACCGGATCGGAATCGTGACCCACTGAGAAGATCCGGCGAGAAACTTAGTGGGCTTAGATGGGTGGACGAGCTCACAGTTCACCTGGTGTTAAGTGGTTACTGGAGCCCATAGACATCTACGATGTAAATGCGCCACCCACCTTGAGATATAAGTTCTAAGGTCTCAAGTATAGTTACAACGGCTGCCCCACCCTTTAAGCTGCTTCACGGCAGAAATCGGCGGGGTTTTACTCGTCGAGCCCTTCGTCGCAAGCGACGGGTTTGACGAGAACGGTGTACCGTGTTTGAAGTACCTAAAAGCACCGTTAGTGGATCGGGAGGATCCGAAATGACGTCATACCAGTAGTGAGATCCGCTTCGGGTTGCCCGAGCGCGTATCTGAGCAGGAAGATCGCTATCCCGGTGTTCTGGATGCCGGTCTCTATGGAGATGGCCAGGGCGTCCTCGTGCGGCTGCCTCATCAGACGCGCCGCCAGGTAGCCGAAACAGTAACCCAACCACGGCATGCCCATACCCGCTACCACGATCTGTAATTTTTTAATCATATTTATTTATTACAATTTCTATGTTTATATATACCGACGCTTGAAAGGCAAACGTGACTAAGCGACAATAACTGCTTTGTACATAAATGATAGGCAATAACCATATTCGATGGAAAAAATATATTTCTACGGATGGAATGGATTCGATCGAAAAAATATATTTCTAAGTCTATTAAAATCATTTTAATCTTACAGCTACTAGCTAGATTCCACTACAGCTAGATTCGTTAAAATAAATTTTGTTTTCAGGTATTTCAACTTGAAATTAGTCTACTGTAAAGTTCACGCATTGTCGCTTAGTCAAGTTTGCCTTTCAAGCGTCGATATGTATTGGCGAGCGAAATGCCGGACGAAACGAAGTACCGTATGTTCCATGAAAACCGCTCTGAGGAATTATTTGAGATAATTACATCATCTCGTTTTTACCATCGCACCGCCCGCCGCCGGAGTAGAGTTCATCCGTACTACCTGGAGCCACTGCGGTCATCCACAGTGCGTTTCCAAAGATCTATTTTGCCACGTACCATCTGGCTATGGAATGAGCTTCCACGGTGTTTCCCGAGCGCTATGACATGTCCTTCTTCAAACGAGGCTTGTGGAGAGTATTAAGCAGTAGGCAGCGTTTTGACCCTGCCCTTGGCATTACTGAAATCCATGGGCGACAGTAATCACTCACCATCAGGCGGGCCGTATGCTCGTCTGCCTTCAAAGGACAATAAAAAAAACAAAATAGAAATGTCAAACGAACTAACCTCCCAAGTGAACAGCTGGAAGATGTACAGGTTGGTAACGATCGCGAATATGATGATGAACAGCAGTAGGGTAGTCGAAAATCCCTTGAGGATCCGGACCATGAAACCCGCGAATTTTGGGGTCAGCTTCTGCATGCTTAGCCCGATGCCCAGCGGCACCACCAGCCCCACCACGAAGTAAGCGATGCGCGCGTACGGCACCACGATCTTGGCGTTGTGGAACACCACTTGACCCAGCGAGAACAACCACGCGGGCATAAAACCTGCGGAAAACAAAAACAAAAAGTTAATAATACTAGTGGTTCCGCAGTAGTCGAAATTCGACTATAATTAATTGAAATTGTAAGTTTGTACACTATTATGTTTCTATTTTCATAGACTATTTCATAAATCACAAATTTCTCCAAGACTACACTATAGAAAAATATTAATAAAAACAAACAATATTTAATCTATTCTCAATTTGACAACAGACGTCAAGAACAAAAGTTTGACAATAAATAGTATGCATGCGTGTGTGCGTCAAATACACGGTATGTAGTGTGTGTAATGTTTTTGTTATGGATTTATTGTATTTTTATGCATAATTTAAAAAAAAATTGGATTCCTTTTGTTTGTTTTTATGTTTATTTTATACAAAAGTTTAGGTCTTTTATTTATAGATTGCGGCGCTACGAAGTCTGCCGGGTCTACCATGTGTAGTGTGTAGCCCACAGCCCACCTGGTGTTAAGTGGTTACCGGAGCCCATAGACATCTACAACGCAAATGCCGCCACCCACCTTGAGATATGAGTTCTAAAGTCTAAGTATAGTTACAACGGCTGCCCCGCCCTTCAAACCGAAACGCATTACTGCTTCGCGGCAGAAATAGGCGGGGCGGTGGTGCGTACCCGCGCGGACTCACAGGAGGTCCTACCACCAGTAATTACGCAAATTAAAATTTTACGGGTTTGACTGCTAGCAAAATCTACCACCGGATCGGAAATGCGACCCACTGAGACGATCCGACGAGAAACTCAGTATACTGTATAAATAAATACGACTATTTTGTATGTATGTATTGAGTAAATAGTACCAATGTATATATGTGTACTAGATACTCGTTTGTGATGCTCTACGTTGTAGATGTCTATGGGCTCCGGTAACCACTTAACATCAAGTGGGCCGTGATCTCGTCTACCCTGCAATAAAAATTAAAAAAGTTCATCTTCTCTTCTAAAAAATGAAAAATTACAAAAACACTAAAAATAATGAATAGCACTTACCAAATGAGCAAATAGTAGATATGGTCGTCATGGCGAGGGACAGGTTGAGGTTACCGCCGAGAATGAAGGTCCACACGTTGGAGGCGCCGCCCCCGGGGGCTACGCCCGTGAAGAACATCCCGAGACGCATCGCGGGCGAGTTCGGGAATATCACGTAGCCCAGACCGAAGGAACTCTGACAAGTAAACATTGCAGGAATACAATGACGTTGTAATATCTATCTATATATGTACACTAGCCGTACTCGCCCGCTTCTCTGGGCATTTAAAATTGACATTACTATTGGAGTCCAACACTCATATAATATATATTTTTTAATGCTTAGATGGATGGACGAGCTCACAGCCCACCTGCTGTTAAGTGGTTACTCGAGCCAATAGACATCCACAACGTAAATGCGCCACCCACCTTGAGATATAAGTTCTAATTTTCATTACACGATGTTATTCCTTCACCGTGGAAGTCAATCGTGAACATTTGTTGAGTACGAATTTCATTAGAAAAATTGGTACCCGCCTGCGGGATTCGAACACCGGTGCATCGCTTCATACGAATACACCGGACGTCTTATCCGCTAAGCCACGACGACTAGAATTTTAGCTTAACCATTAAGTACATGTATTTTCTACATGGATACCAAGTTTCAAGTCAATTGGATGCATGGTTCAGTAGTTATAACGGAACATCCGTAAAAACCACTATAGATTTATATTATTATATTAGTATAGGTTAAAACTTTTTTATTTTTTTTATTTAGTTGTTATGTATGTATGTTATCTAATATAAAAAAAAAAAAAAAAAAAAAAAAAAAAAAAAAAAAAAAAAAAAAAAAAAAAAAAAAAAAAAAAAAAAAAAATAATAATATAACAATTTTTCTTATATACCTTATTGAACTTGAAATTTAATAAGAATAAACGTTTTGACTTAAAAAAATTTTTTAAATAAAACTAAATATTATTATATACATATAAACTACATGTTTTGGTACTGTGTCTTTGAATTTATCTAGAGATATAAAATATTTTACTATTAAATGAAACTCACGAGTGGCATAAAAAGGAATTGTCCGACCATTCCTATGGCGGGTCCGATCGGTCGCTTGATGACGTCACGCACCGTCGGCCAGTGCATCGCACATCCAAAATTGATAAAGATTAAAGCTATCTGTAACATGAAAATGTGTACATTCATTAAGTAATAGTTATATATTAAAAAAACACTTTACACGCTTTCGAAGTCTATAATTGCCCTAAGCATGTCATTACGGTCCCTCCCGATCCATTAACGGTGCTTTTAGATACCTCAAGCACCAGTCACCGTCCTCGCCGAACCCGTCGCTTGCAACGAAGGGCTGGACGAGTAAATTAACCCACAGACACAGTCCACTGAGTTTATCGCCGGATCTTCTCAGTGGGTCGCGTTTCCGATCCGGTGGTAGATTCTGCGAAGCGCGGCTCTTGCTAGGGGCAGTGTTAGCAACACTCCGGTTTGAGCCCCGTGAGCTCACCTACATGTTTGGGCGAAGCTGAAATAGCCTCTCAAGGCTATCAGCATAGTTAGGGAGAATAAAATGTCTATATCTGTGTATATTTTCGATGTGAAATTAAATTTCCACCTACCCTACCCTTGACATATAGTTCGAAATCGCATATCACATTTAATGGTGCACCCAAGATGGTATTAACTTTCAGAGTTTTTATTTTTGGTGATATCTAAAATTATTTAAAAATCACTAACAATAATTTTAAACGTTAATTTAATTCGTTTTTTTTTATTCCGGCAAAAACCTCATAAATTTCGAAATGCTATTGTTCATATTGTAATTTCTTCACTATGTGATTTCGTCTTCGTAGATCTAAGAAGCATCACATATTTTTGTTCATTTTATACGTAATTTTTGTTACCTTCTCTACTATCACAATCGTAAGTAAAGTGAGTGATCGCAATGACACAATCATGCAATAATTATTTTTTATTTATTTGCCGAGACAAAAACAAAACAATAAATCTTGTTCTGAGATTAAGAAAAAACATTAATTGTATTTTTAAATTATCATTAACATTCTCAATAGCTTTATGTTGAAAATTTAATTTGATACATACAATTAACATACTTTTTAAGATTAAATTACGAACATACTGTAAAGAACAAGGCTGTAATAGTGCTTTATTTTATACTTTTCTGGAATATTCATCACTTGCTAATTTCAGACGAGTGGCATTTAACGTGTTCACAAATTTACAAATATTAATATCTTTCAAACACTAAAGGTAATTGAAGTTACGGCCTTCATATGACAAAGAACTCTATTTTTTTGCAGAGTCTACCTTGAGGTATTAAAAAATGTTTTTTTTCTTAACTAAGCTGATAGCCTTGAGAGACTATTTCAGCGTAACCTTAACTAGTAGGTGAGCTCACAGGGCTCAAACCGGAGTGATGCTAACACTGACCCTAGCAAGAGCAGTGCTTCGCAGAATCTACCACCGGATCGGAAACGCGACCCACTGAGAAGATCCGGCGAGAAACTCAGTGAGCTGTGTCTGTGGGTTAGTTCGCTCGTCGAGCCCTTCGTCACAAGCGACGGGTTCGACGAGGACGGTGACCGGTGAGTTAAGAACGTATGCGTCTTTGCGAAGACTGCTCCTTTGCATTGTCTATGTCTAAGATTTACGATTAAAGTACTCAAAGTTTAAGTATAATTTCCTTCAGCCACACGTCTCGCGTCGTGATTCCTGGTAACTTACACACCAGAAGTGGTCGTACCCGTCGACATAAGCAATACTTACGAACACAGCAACGCTGGTGGTGAATATCGTGTCTATGACCCGTTCGACCCTCGTGATCACCACGGGAACCGTACCGTTGGTGACGGAAAACGTATCGGCGTCCCTTTTTACTTCCAGTACCAAGTTTGTCCTACCTGAAAAGCGTATGCGTGTTTACACTTACGGACAAAATAATCGGATCGCACTAGATAAATGAAAAAGAAAAAATAATCAATCTTTCAAGTGTTCTTCCGGGAAACTGTATCACGATACAAAATTACTTCTCTATCTACTTATCTTATGCCATAACAAAAACATGCTATAGGATCACATTCGCTAGTAATTAAAAAAAAAATTCGACAAGTTTTTAAAAAAATACATAAATTATATTCTAGTCAATTTAAAATACACGATTGTTTGCTCTTTTTTCATATATGTACATTTATAATTTTATTTCCATATTGTCTTCGAGAATTAATTAACAGAAATCTCGCAAATAAGAAGCAGCTGTCTCAATATCATTGTTGATAGTAAAAATACTCTATAAAGTTTGGCTTTTGTTTCGGACAAGGAAGTGTCGGGTAGTAATTATTTCAAGTCCTCTAGTTTTTTCGTTAAATAATTTAATTTATATACGCATATGATAAGGCCGGTGACGTCTTCAAAAGTAGAACATTCTTTATAAATAAGTAACTAGTACTCTACCACAAAGTGGTAGATACTCTTGTGAGTCCGCACAGGTAAGTACCACCACCCTGCCTATTCCTGCCGTGAAGCAGTAATGCGTTTCAGTTTGAAAGGTGGGACAGCCGTTGTAACTATACTTGAGACCTTAGAACTTATATCTCAAGGTCGGTGGCGTATTTACGTTGTAGATGTCTATGGGCTTCAGTAACCAGTCAACACCAGGTGGGCTGTGAGCTCGTCCAACCACATAAGAAAAAAAAAAAAACTTACCTATAAAATTTCCATTGATGCGTATCTTGCCCTTCCACGTGCTGTCGTGCTTCTCGTAAAGGTTCGACGAGTTCCATTCGGCCCAGGCCAGTTGCTCGTTTTGCGAACTGATTTTGAACGCGTCATTTAACTCCAAGCCCGAACCTGTATCAATTTAATATGAGGATTGATATTCAAATTTTGAATACTATTACTATTTAGTAAGAGTTTTGCATATAATCTCTCTCTTTTTCTCTTTCAGTCAGCGCATAGTCGTCCACTGAATACCTGCCTCGGCAAAGCCTCGCCACCAAAGCCGGTCCTGTGAGACATGCAACAGGTCGTCGGACCGCCTTGTGGGAGCCCTACCCACGCTATGACATTCAATATGGCTGTCACCAGACGAGAGTTTTTCGCTCATGAGTTTAAGATCCTTAATGACCAGCTATTGTTAAACTATTGCTTACAGATACTACCACGCAAATGCTTTCGCACGCCACTTTAGATAAAATACTCGGTTGGATTGCTGATAACGGCTGTTTACAACATCAAATAAGAAGCTTATTTCTCAAGCGTAGCTAACATAAAAATTATTAATAGTTAAAAAAAAAAAAAATTGTAAAAAGCGTGTTAATCCGACGGCCAAATTTTGAGTTAATCCGACGTTTTGAAGTTCAAAAACAAGGTCAAAGATTCCATATTAACATACGTACATACACATGTACTAACATACGTATGAAGCTAATAAAAGCGTATTATAAAGAAGAGATCATGAATGTAACATTTTATGGCCAGTGTCGAAATACACAAACATTCACAATTTAAGAAACCAAACAACTCGATTTGAAAATGAGTTTATTTCAGTACGTTCGTATTTTGAATAAATTAGGGAACCAAACTGATGTATTGTACGATTCGGATACAATATACTTTATACTTTAAAGTTGATACGATAAAGCAGATTTTGCTTTATTAATAATTTGACAAACACATTTATATTCCTGCATATTTCCATCAATGCATTCTCACATGTTACATCCGTGACGCTATGTAGCAATATTCAAGTACAAACGTACAAAATTACATACAGCAGTAACCTTCAGTTTTTTTCTGATAGAAGCTCTTTCTGGAAGCCGAAAGAACAATGTAATTCTTTAACAGAACATAGGTTAATTGATAAAGCGATATCTATACTAATATTATAAAGAGGAAAGATTTGTTTGTTTGTTTGTTTCGAATAGGCTCCGAAACTACTGGACCGATTTGAAAAATTCTTTTTCCATTAGAAGCCGACATTGTCCCTGATGAACATAGGCTACTTTTTTTTAATTTTTCTTTTATTTTATATATTTGGTTTCATGTGTGTTTTAATGTTTCCGAAGCGAAGCGAGGGTGGGTCGCTAGTTCATTAATAAATATAGATTCGGTGTGTTCCCATCTGTTTTGGGTCACACAGGATAACGGGATTCGTGCGTTATATGTATCTATTTTTTTATTATTGTGTTTATACGTAGTTAAGATATCACGACAAAAAAATAATAATGAAACGGTTAAATCTTTGGTGTTTTTTTTTTAATATTTTCATCTCAGACTTGGGTTACAAGGCTGTTAAGTCGATTTGTGTGCTGCTAAAATATCGTTCTGACCAAATTAAAATATACGATCTAGCCATTATGTAATCTTCTTTAATTCTACTAGATCTAAATAGTCTCGCATCTTTTTTTTACTCTAGTATGTATACGTGCTGTTAAATAAAAAAAACAGTAAATATGTTTCTTTGGTTTTTTTTGTTGACCTACTATAGAGTCATCTTATTCTAACTTCAATGCATTCCCATAGACTTTTGATATATTCGTACAATCATTAAAATGACTTTACGGTTTAATCGAGTCTCGCGTTTTTTATTGTCATTAAATTGTTTCTGAGGTTTCGAATAACTTCAACTGTTTTTTGTGACCACTAAAACTGTGAACTATAAAAGTTTGATGGTTTTAATTATGTGTTTTGACTCACGAAAATTTAAGATAACGTTACAATCATTCAACTAAACAGTTGTTTGATGATAATTTGTATTTAGCCCCCTGGCTTTAGGAATCACTAGATTTTCTTTGAGAACGATTCCCATCCGAGATTTGTATATAACGTGGAGTACGTTCGATGTGTGCATTACAATTGCGAAAGTCTATGTGAACTTAAATTCATCCGACCGCGACGGGTAAGGCAAAGCCGCCATCGCCCGAAACATGTCTTGTCGGATCCCACGGATTCACTCTCGGTGCTTTTAGACCTCACAAGCACCGGTCACCGTCCTCGTCGAACTCGTCAATTACGATGAAGAGTTCGACAAGCGAACTAATCCATAGACACAGCCCACTGAGTTTCTCGCCGGATCTTCTCAGTGGATCACGATCCGCATTGTAAATTTTCGGTCGCTCAACATGCATCGACATTTTAGTTCGAACTACAGTTACTTATACAAATGTTTTCGGTCGCTTAGAATTTATGAGTCAATTACGCAACGAGCTCAGTGAAATGCTATAGGGGATTGGTGTTGCCAATTTTAGTTCGCTAAATTATCGGAACTTTTTTTTAAACTAAGGCGTCGAGGAAAGTGCCTTTGTTATTTTAGTGGTTCGGTGGTGGATTCTACGAAGCACTGCCCTTGCTAGGGCTAGTTTTAGAAAATTCTCTCAGGTTGAGCCCTTGAGCTCACCTACCCGTACGACAGTACGGTTTCCGTCACGGTCGCTCAGCTGGCGATCTTCTTGTATACCTTACTCACAGGTGGGCTGAAGCCTTGGAGAGCAAGGGCGAGGCTCTTGCTGTGAGCCTTGATATCGCGAAGGCCTTCGACAGGGTCTGGCATAGGGCACTTCTGTCGAAGCTACCATCTTACGGAATCCCCGAGGGTCTCTGCAAGTGGATCGCTAGCTTTTTGGATGGGCGGAGCATCACGGTCGTTGTAGACGGTGACTGTTCTGATACCATGACCATTAACGCTGGCGTTCCACAAGGTTCGGTGCTCTCCCCCACGCTTTTCATCCTGTATATCAATGACATGCTGTCTATTGATGGCATGCATTGCTATGCGGATGACAGCACGGGGGATGCGCGATATATCGGCCATCAGAGTCTCTCTCGGAGCGTGGTGCAAGAGAGACGATCAAAACTTGTGTCTGAAGTGGAGAACTCTCTGGGGCGAGTCTCCAAATGGGGTGAATTGAACTTGGTTCAATTCAACCCGTTAAAGACACAAGTTTGCGCGTTCACTGCGAAGAAGGACCCCTTTGTCATGGCGCCGCAATTCCAAGGAGTATCCCTGCAACCT